TATACACAAAAGCTAACCATAAAAACTATTCATATCACTACTATTTCAAATAAATAAATGAATTGAAATAACATAAATTATATATCTGAAACTTGCAAAAAAAAAAAAAAGTTTTTGTCAAAATACTAACCCCTAGACCAAGGAATAATGCTGCATTCTCTTTAGGCTTTGGATCTGCTGTAGCAACACAATGAAAATCAAATACATTCCGCAGCTTCTTCAGGTTGGTTTCTGTGAGAAACTCAGGATGATTTTTCAAATAAGATAAATTTTCTCCCTAAGAAAGAAAACTGTTAAACACATATGTAACAGGCTGTTAAATAAATAAACAATTAAAAAGCAGTAGAATATTAAAAAAAAAGTAAAACGTTCATTCTACCGCATAATGTTGAGAAGCACTTTCATGAAATAGATTCTTATTGCATAACATTATTAAATAATTACAAATATTCATTAAAAATTAGCATGTCATAAAAAACTGAAATATATTGCAAAATCTTTGTTGAGATAACACTTTAATTAGTTAAAGTACACTTTATCAATATACAGTCAAAAGTCGTTAAATCGGACACCCATAATCCGGACCTCAAAGCTACAAACTTTCTGCGCATGCATCGCGTTCACGCATGCGCACAGGCGTTTACGAGAGCGCATAAGACCCTTACAGCTGCGAATATGTTTGTGCGCATGCGCGTTTAATGTGTAACGGAGTTATTATACGCTAAGCTAAAGTTATCTAATTCAGTTAATGTTGCAGATTGTGTTGTTCCTTAATCTTCGAATCGTATCTGGCTTATTATTTTTTGCAGACTGTTAGAGCAATTTTATAAAAGTAAGCTTGAACTTTCGATTATGTCAAATAGAATTTCCGATATATATTTACTACAAAGCGAAAGTATGTTTTGAAATCCGAAATCTGTTTATCAATTTCACACTGCTCTGCGGCAGAGGGGGGGGGCAGAAACGTCATTATTAGATTATGATAGATTAGAAAGATTATGTCAAATAGAATTTCCGATATATATTTACTAATATGTAATTTGTATCTACAAAGCGAAAGTATGTTTTGAAATCCGAAATCTGTTTATCAATTTCACGCTGGGATTGGAAGTTGATCTGTCAGCACTAGCCTTATCTTCAGAGCAGATGTTTTTATTTTATTTGGTTTATAATTCCGTACTAAGTGTAGTATTTCATCTCGGTCTTTGATATGATTTAAATCAAGTTCCTCGTCATTATAATTCGCTTCCGATAGTGAAGAAAGTGACCCAGAGGTTATTGAAAACGAAAGCATTTCGATTGACAAATTAGTCGGTATTCTCAACACAGCAATTATAGGACTTGAACAGCGGAACTTTGTAACTAAACAAGAAATTATGTCTGTTTAATAGAATTAAAGAGAAAGTATTATCACATGAAACGAAGCAACTTACATTGAAAGAAATGTTTAATAAAGTAAACAAATAAATATTAAGCTTTTTCTTTTTGTAAATTTTGATACCCTTTAGATCATAATTGTTCTTTATTTCATAAATTATGGTTTCATATTTTTAATTTTGTAATTTCTGCATGCCATCTTACCAGATTTAAACTGATGATCTATAATCCGGAAAAATCGATAATCCGGAATCGCCGAAGTCCCGACGAGTCCGGATTAACGACTTTTGACTGTACTATTTTTTTTCGGTGTAATCAAATGAATAAAAAGAAAAAAATAAATGCAAACCCATTCTTTTCTGGAGACAAAAATCAATTTAACTGTGAATTCTAATTCCATTTATGACATCAAAGTCCTTATAATCATTTGATACCCCAAAATAATCAAATGAATATTGCAAAAAAAGGTTAACCTTTATTATTAAACAAACCTCAAAAATAAACAAAGACTATAAAAAGTTTTATTATTATTATTATTATTTTTTTGCACAGCAGAGCATTTCGTTTTACACAATTAAAAACTGCTAAACAGATTCAGAAGTTAAAACAAAAAAATCAGCTGTACTGCCTGACAAATGGCAATAAATATTATTCAAAGCAGTGGAAAAAAAATTGTTTGAAATTTCGAATGTGTAAGATTCAAATCTCTGCTCATAGACACTTTAGCTTAGATTGGTCAAAGGCAAACTAAATATATATTATTTTTTTTTTTTCTAACTGCAATATTATGTGGTTAAAATGTAAAAAACAGCTGAAATTTCTGCTAAAAATCAACTAAACAGGATACAAGTTTGTTTTCAGTTAGAGCAAATCTACCTTTTTTTCTGACAAAAGAAGTAGTGTACAAGTTATGAGAAAATTATGCGTTCCAGTTTCAATTTTGTAAAACACTTTAGTTTGTTTAAAATTCCTATCTTATCTGAAAACTAAGCATGATGCAGGTTAAAGGCATGATTAAAGATGTACTGTCCCCTTAATTGATAAAATTAATGGGTAAATAGAGAGCCAAATAATGACAATTCAACTTCATGGAACATCTAACAGAAACTGAGACAAACAGAAAGTTCAAGGACTAAGAATCTCTCCTTAAAATATGATAATTCTGTAAGACAAAAGTTTGACTTTCATTTTTATATAACAATCTTCTGGAAGGCCATCTGTTATACTGCTATAATATGAAAAAACTGATGTGCGCATAAGACTCCCTTCCGCAGCCTATTATTATATTACACAATTTTTTGGCTGCACTTCATTTCAACTTATTTCCTCAAATTATTCTAACTTAATTAACCAGTCCCTTAAGGCAAGTTGAAAATGACATAAAAAATTGCAAATATTGAAATTAAATACTGTGGTCAATTCTTGTCGTATGGGAGTCAGACTCCTTCTAATTTCATTTTTTCATAATGAGTATAAAACTTTTCAAATATATGTATAGGAACTGGGTGAATGTATTAAAAGTTAAATTTTGTTATTTGTCCAAAATTATTATTACTTTTCTTTTTTAAATTTCACACAGCCCAAACATGAATATTTTTGTCATTTAAAATATTTCTGTAATAGGAAGTGTACGACCACGACCAATGATTGTGAAAATAATTGCCACATAAAGACTTTTAAGCTGGTAAGGGGGATAAATATACTTTTTGTATTACTGAATGCAATAAAAAGGAAATTTAATGAGTAGATGTTATAACAATACCATGTATAAAATTTCAATGTTCTATGGCTAATTGTTTTTCCTAGATACACATGTCCGTACAGACTTCATGAAAAACTCCCATTTTACATTCACTTTTGAGGAAAAAAAAAGAGTCCTTCATTCTTTCCATACATACAAAGGTCTTGCAAAAAAAAATAATCAAAATGAATATTTCCATTTAAATATGGCACAGGAAATTTTTAGCAATTACAAAATTTCCTTTACTTCATACAAGGAAGTAAAAATGACGCTTCTTTCTAAGAAATTGTTTTCAGGATAGAATACAGAACATTTGTCAATTTATATATTTTGGTTTTTCATAAGTGACCAAAGATCTTAACTCAAATGTGCTTTAGCAGTTAAGACACATTACATGTCGTATTTAGAATATGAGTAATTCCATCAATTGATGTCTAGCCATGTACATAATATGATGCCACATATGTGTGCAAACCCATATAATCTAAACCGCTGTAGAAAAGGGCAATGTAAAATACGTGAATTGAAGTATGAAGATTTTTTTTAAAAAAAAGAGCAAGCATAGTACGAAAAACTTAAAGAGCTTTTGTTATAGAGTAAATTTTTGATTCATGTTTCATTTAAATTGATTTTACCCAAGCAACTGAAATATAAATGCATAGCAAGGATAGCTAATAAGAAGTAACTACTACTATAGCAAAGAATTCTAAGCTCAAAACACAAATCCGTAATAGCAAAAGTACCTGCATAATTTGCTTGTATTTTGCATCTGGCTCAGGTCTAACTGGAGCAGATCTTGCTTTGTCAGGAACCTATAACAAAATTATTTAAAATATAAAGATTTTGAACTTGGAATATACCGTATTTACTAGAAGTAAGACCTCTCTGAACTTTAGTATAATTTATAAGAAATAAAAATATAGATAAATATTTATTGTCCTGCAATAATTTTGAAAAACAAAACCAGTTTGTTTTTCTCCTCCTTCAGATTTCCTTTGAAACAGTACTGTGAGCTTTGGTCCAAGGGCGCTGTTAGTGATACCTACTTGTTTTTAGGCATAGCAATGACCAGTCATAATGGATGCAGACTAAATCAAGTTGCTCTGCTAACTATACCTACTATAATTAGTTATGGTTAGCAGAGGGATTTCAGTTTAGGTCTAGTTATGCAATTTATACAAGTACAGAAATTACCTACATAGTTTTTTAGTTTTTGAACAGCATAATTCTTTTGCATAGTATAATTAAACAATTACCTTTCATACTGCAGTACCATGTCTCAAAACATCTCTTAAGATTTTACCTGACTTTAAAACAACAGAAAAAAAAAAAAAAAAAAGAGAGTCTTATTTGTGAGTAAATACGACATTTTAGCTCAATCATAATAATACATTCTTAAATTTAAACACTTCAAAAACACATATTCACACACATATCAGTAAATCCAAAAGTTTAAATCTCAGCAAATATAGCCTTCTTTGAACTACAAATTACCAGGGTTCGTACACATTTCTGCACATAAAATTAAGTACTTTTAAGGACCGTTAATGAAAAAATTCAGGACCTATCAGTAAATGGGAGCTGAATAAATTCAATTAAATTCAATCAACTTATGTCTGAACTTAACTTTTGTAATACAGTACTAAGTCCGTAATCCGAACTTATCGGGACTTCGGTGATTCCGGAATAGGGGTTTTTCCAGATTATAGATCAATTTAAATCTGGTAAGATGGCATGCAGAAATAATACAATTAAAATATAATACCGTAATTTATGAAATAAAGAGCAATCATGATCTAAAGAGTATCAAAATTCACAAAAAAAAAAAAAAAAAAAAAAAAAAAAAAAAAAAAAGCTTAATATTTATTTGTTTATTTAGTAACCATTTCATCAAGCAAGTCTTAAGCTGCTTCGTTTTTGTGCTAATACTTTCTCTTTATTTATAAAACAGACATAATTCTTGTTCAGTTACAAAGTTCACTGTTCAAGTTCTTAATTGCTGTGTCGAGAATACCGACTAACTTGTCAATCGAAATTTTTTCGTTTTCAATAACGTTCTGTGTTACTTTCTTCACTATCGGAAGCACGCATGGGTAAACGCTTTACTGGCTTTACGTACATGCGTAGCGGACATGCGCATCAAACGTGCATGCATAAACGCTTTATGTGCATGCGTAAGTTTGTGGCTTTGAGGTCCGGATTATACAACATTCCGGATAATGGACGTCCAGATTAGAGACTTTGTACTGTAATACTCTAAGAATAAAACAGATCTGTAAATAAGATGTATTCTTATTAAACATAATTTAATAAACATAACTATAAAACAAATTTAAGAATAAAATCCCCTTTACAAAAATGTATTAGGTAGCATTAAATATTTTACATGTATAATAGTTGGACATATTTGAAAGAAGATTAGGGGCATTTTATTTACTTTTTACTAACAGTTAGCTTTACGTTGATTTTTTTCTTTTATATCTCATTTTGCTACGTACTATAGCAGGTAGATATTATGTCAAATGACAGAGGTTAAAATGAGAAACAAAATCATAATCAGCATGATTCGTAACAGAAGACTGGCTGTTGCCAATGTTGCTGCTTGCCTAGAGAGAGATTTCTTGATCAGAACAATCCTGAAAGCCTGATGTAGGAATTGTTGGCAAGTTTTGAAAGTTAGTCGTGCTCCGTTTGTCTGACGCAGTTAGTGTTGTAGCCTCGTGTAGAGTTTCTGAGATTGTAACCCAGTTAATATATTGTACGGTTCCAAAAAGCCACGAATGCACTAGAGGTGATAAATTCTTTTGTATTACTTTAAGTCTCACTAGATGCAAAGAATAATTTTTACATTTTTGTGCTGTATCTTATAACCACAGTAAAGATTAATGAAAGGCAAAAACTTGCTTTAATATACAGAGATAACTTTTAAAGATGAGGAGTTAGTTACAAATAATTAAATTAGGTAGTAAAGACCTTTCATCGTTATAGATTTATATGACCACTATTAAATTTTATTTTTTTAAAGCATTTTTTAAAAAAGCACCATTAAAATCACAATCTAATAACACTTCCCAGTTTAAAATGCATGTAATTTATGACATTGATTCTTAAACGATATTAGGATAATTCCACATTCAAAAGATAAAAAACATTTATGCCTTGTAGCAACAACACACAACAAAATACTATTTACGCGTCCCTTTAACTTGAAGCCTTCCCAGACATTTTGGCTTAATTTATATCAATTTTCTTCTCTTCTTTTTTCTAACAATTAGAAATCTGTTTCAGTACACAATGTTCCCACTAGTTTTTTGCCAATCTCTTAATCCTAATGAGGTTTTACTTGATCTGGTAAAAGTTAAATAGTCCAAAACCTCTGACAGACATGAAGCAAATTAACACTATGTCTGAAACTACAAAGTCACATAAGGATTTAAATAAACCTTTTATTTAAAAAGAACTCGGAACATGCAGACACATTCTTATGTTGATAAAAATCAACTACAGCTTGTGGTTATGCAATTAAACAGAAACAGTAAATTAAAACCAAAAATGTGGACTAGTAGTCAAAGGTTACGCAATTTAATTTTAATCTAAGCTAGCTCAGGAACTCTATCCCCGTAACAAATTCAAATGTTAGCATGGATAACGCAAAGACATGAATAATTACAAATTACCACAGCTGGCAGGAACTGAAGCATCATCCAAGTGGAGGGCAAAAATACTCTGTCTTACAATACAAAAACCTCAGTTTTAAAACTATCAGATTTGCATTATGGTGAGGAATCAGAAATGGGAACTTAAAGGCTAAATTATAAACAACTGGTTAATTTGTATAATAATAACAGTACATATCTTTGAAGAATAAGTTTCTTCCTCTTTATGTATTCAGTTTTTTTCCTCAATACATTTCCTCTTCACTTTAGAATTTTTTTGAATTAAATAAAGATTTCTGTTATTCAAAAAAATGAGATGCATTTAGAATGTAAAGAAAAGACTGAACATTCAGAATAAATATGAAATGATATGATAAGGGCTGGTTTCAGAGCCATTGAGGCAGAATTTTAGTGATTTTAGAATTTAATGGCACATTGAACAACAAAATCTAGATATATCAAAACTTTTAGAATTTTGAACATGCATTGGGAGCAGAATTTAGGAGAGCACTAGGCAGCATAATTTAAGAAGGCCCTGGGAGCAGAATTTAGGATCCACAGAGATTGCATTAGGTGGGAAAATGCCTAATGTGTATGATCCATTGAGACATATAAAGTGAATCTTTTTAATTGTCAGTTTTCAATTTCTTTATTAATAGAAAAATTCTTTTTTATAAATGCCTGTCCATGCAAAAAGATTAGAAACATTTTTGATATTTTCATACTTCTGTCTAAAGTCAGTGGAAAAAGTGGAAAATTAATTTTACATAGAGAAAACTGATTGCATATTCTTACAATTTCTGAATATTCTGAGACAATTACATATATACAATTTTGAATATTCTGAGACAATTACATATATACAATTTTGAATATTCTCAGACATGGAAAAAATTCTTATCATGAAAAAAAATTAAAAGGAAGATATTTTTAATTAATTACATAGCTATTTTGCTTTCGCTATGAACTGTTTTCTAAACTGTGCTTTATAGCATTTATTACTTTGATTCAAACCTGATTTAAAAAACTGTAAAGTCGCCAAAATGGAAAATCATGTCACTTTACAATACGACAGCAAAAATAAAAATGTTTTATTTTAATGTTATTCATTAAATGTAACTTCAATATATTACTATTATTTTAGTTAAATGTATCAGTGTTATAATGTTTAAAAAAATCGTCAAAAAATTCCCTAATCTCCAAATCAAAAATTTTCTATAGAAATTGATCTTAAAATTGCCAAGATTTTGATAAGTTGCCAAACTTAGAGCTGTTTAATAAAAGAATTCACATTCCCAAAAGTGAAAAGTTTAAGAGCTCTTCATTAGAAAAAAAATTAAATAATTTCGAAATGCTTATGTTCGACTCCTTACTCAAAAACTCCAGTAACCCACCCTTTATATTAGAAATAAGAATAAATTATAACACATGAACCCATTCAAAAGATAATCATATTTGTCAGTGAATCGTCAAAAATATTCCTCCAAAATGAATATTTACACTCAAACTAGCAGTCATAAAAACAAGACAGAAATTTCAGATGATTAAAATTAAAGACCTTTTGATGATTTTGGCCAAAATTAAGGACTAAAAATCAATTTGAAAAACCTAAGGACTCTTAAGGACCGACCGTAAGAACTCTAATAACATTTGTTCATTCAGATATATATATTGTAAATTCTGAAGCTTTATTGATTCCAATACTCATATCTTCCCTAATGCCTAAAAACTTTTATTTCCAAGGGATGTAAGAACAAGAAAATCTTTAAAAGAATTGCATGCTTCTATAAGTAAAAATTCATTATTTATGAGTTCATAACCACTATGTTCTAATTCACTCAGCATGCCAATGAAGCTTTCCATCACGCTTAGCTTGTGTGCCAAATCCTCACAGTGACTGGTGACGATTCTGAACCTCATAATCTTATAACTGTGCTGGGTGATTATGAATCTCATATACCCCTAACTCCTCTTGCAAAGTTAACAAGAGTACTACCAACAATAGTAATGACACTTAATGAGTGCTAGAAAACTAGGACCATCGATACAGAATCACTGATACCTTAGCACAAAATCTATCAAAGTATGAGAACACCATATTAGATAACAATTTTCTAATTATTAGCACTTAAACAATGGAAAAATTGCTTTAGTAGTTTTTTGGGGAAGGGGGGCATATTTTTAGTTTTGGGCCAAGTGGGGAAATAACATTTTTACATTGGAGATGTACTTTAATTTTGTTTCTAGAAATGTTCCCGCAAGATTCAAAAATAATAATTTGGCAACAGCTTAGGTGAAATGAAAAATTCTCTAGCCCCTAAAATTCCAAGGCTAGTAAGAGTATGAAAAATGATAAAGCATTCAAAACACAATGTGTGCATGCAAGAAGAAATCTTTACCTTCCATAATGCTAAGCACTGCTTTCTTAATTCATTCTGACGTTCTTCATGCAATTCCCTAAAAAAGGAAAAATTAATGGAAAGCAAATGTAAAATTCATATGCCAAAGATGAAAACATTATTAAAAATCACAAACTTAGCCTCTCAAAAAATCGTAATAAATTTTTTAAAAAAAGATACAACTAAATAATTAAATAAAAATAATAAGAGCAATAGAAAAATTTGCTAGTTTAACTGAATCTCTAGAATGTGTTGACATACATTTTAAATTCAAAACATAGACAATATTTAACAATGGAGGGAAGAAGGGAAAGAGTTAAATACTTTTTACACAATTTAAAGATTTGTGTGTTTTTAATTATAAATTAATTTTCCAAATGTGTTTCAAATGTAAAAGATAGAAAAATGGTAAAAATTAATAATTTCGAAATGATTCCGAAAACCACTTTCAATAATGCAAAAATAATTATATGACAGAACTTACCTAAAGTAAGTTGTAGATGCTTCCTGATACAGGCCAACACATGCTAAACAGTTCTCTTAACAAAACAGATACTTAGACTTTTTATAGAACTTTATACTTCTCTCTTTCTTTAGGACCTCTTCAAAATGTACCAAACAAAGGAATAAAAACATTGCAAAACTAGCTGCACTTTATCTCAATCTTATTTGAATTCTTGTGGATAATATAAAAAACTTATGTTTCCCAGGCAAAATATTATTGTAGCAGTTTATACTAATTTCATGGACTGCAAATAAAATTTGTTATTTAACATTTCTACTTTTCATACGATGAGTAGTTTTTGCACAGTCAGGCTTCAGTGTTAAATTTTATTTCACTGAATGATTATATATGCACTTTTATTTAGCAAAAGCTAACTTTTTGTTTAATAAAAAAGAGGGGAGGTTAATTTTAAAAAATGACACAGTTTTAGTTAAAAATTTAACAACATAATTTTATTTTTAATTAGGAAAAAAATATTAATTTCAAATTCGACAAACAAATGAATAAAAATTCTAAATAAATAAATAAGCAACTGAATATTTTAAACAATTAAACTATCCTATTATATTCAATCACAAAATGAACAATGATGATTTTTTAATATATATATCCTGCGTCTAATACTGTTCCATTCCCCTAAATGATGTAGGTACTATATGAAATGTTAAAATGCAATTTATGTTACTGTTAGTGAAGCACTGAGAAAAGTAACTGCATCATGAACATATGTGCTAGTCAAAATACTAACAATAATTACATTTGTACTCAAATTCTCATTTTGGAAAGAAAAGCACTTCTTTTAATACTAAAGATAATTATTTAAACAAATAAAAGAAAGGAAAGCTACAGAAGTCGTACGACTAAACATATACAGAGGTCGTACGGCTATTTACTAAGTTCCCTAAATGAATTTTCAATATTAATAATAGCTAAATAGATCAAAAATAAAACTTTATAATAAAAAATAAATTTTAAAAAAAAATCTGAAAGCTTTCAGCTTTTACAATTATGCCCAAAGGGACTTTTTTTAACGTTTTGCGTGTTACCTTTATTTATTAAATACCAAGTCTTCGCACTCAAACCATAAAATTCAGTTCAAAAGGAATATTATAAAATAATTTTAAAATGAGCATACCTTTAGAATTTCCGATGCACAGACTCATGCGCTGGAAGTAAATCCCCCCCCCCATACAGTGTTGCTATTGCTTGCTTTGAAATTGCTGAGTTAGTTAATCAAAAACTCCTTAAAGCTTTACAAAATATGAAATAGATAATATAACAAATTCCAAATTTGGGCTTCTAGATGCCCATAATTCAGGTGGAAATGTATGTTCAAAATTTGATGGTTTTAGGTACCATTGTTTAAAATATAATGCGAGAAATATATATACATTTATGCAGATTCTTTGTTATTTAAATTTTTTTAATATAATACAGGGCTTTAATATTTGGAGGCAACAGTTTGAAAAGAGAACTGACATTTAAAGTTTTAAATGCAAAATGCCAAAACGAAATTAATCACCCTTTGTACAAAAAATAATACTAACGGCATACAGAATTACCTACAAGTTATGAAATTTATCTAAGGTTTAAAATTAAATGCACTTAGCATATTATAGAATAAATTATTCTGAAATCATAAATTTATTGTTAAAATTGTAGTGTAACATTATGCAACTTTTGAAAATTCCACTAAACAAATATTTAAAGAAACAAGTTACAAAACTTACGCATTTTGGGCGAACACTCTTATTTTGTCAAGATGTATTATTTGCCTGCTTCCTATTCTAAAAGAAAAAAAATTCAAAAACTAATTATTCAATGAAATCCAAATTGCATACAAAAATGAAAGAGAATTTCAAGTCACAAGAAAAAGCTTAGGACATGCTGTGTATTTTGCAATAAGAATACATTATCATTGAGTGAATGACCCTTCCACTCTTTATCCTGAAACTAAAACAAAAAAAATACTCTTCATTCAGAAAAAGTTTACACACGTACAAAAATAAAATAAAATAATAATTTTTACAAATCTGAAACTTTTAACATTTGCCCAAAGGGGCTTTTTTTAAAGTGATACCATGTAAAGATAGTAACTGACCAGTTAAATTTGATAAGGTTGCATATTCTTACTGCATATTTAATATCTACTAAAGCATATTTAATATAAATATATGAGAAGCTTTATTAACAATACATAATGACAATGACAATTAATATTGAATGCACAGGTAAATTACCAATTTGCACAAAATATTGAATTGCACAGATAAATTACCAATAAATTTTCAATTTTAAAAATGAAAATATTATACTTGTGTTTAAAAATGTTTAACAATTTATAACATATTATTAAAATTATCACATAACAACAGATTAAAAGTCATTTTCATGAAATCGATACCTGAAAATTAATGTGATTTACAGCCAATACATTTGCATAAGTATTTTAAATTGAAATCTTAAATTAACTTATCTTTTAACACAAAATAAAAAATTCTGCACTTTACAACAATTTGGTTAATAGTTTGAATTAATTTAGTTTGAATTTGGTTAACAGTCACCATTTGAAATGGATAACCTTTTTTACCCATTTAAAATAACTCAACTAACATTTTCCAAAGCAGCATATGAGAAGGATTTTTACAACTGAAATTTGAAGTTAATAAGAATTTTAATCAATGAATTAAATTACTCTTTGAAAAGTACTAAATGAAGAAAATGTATTAAAACTAAATTATGATTTTTTCACATTATTTTTCAAAGCCACATTACAAATGTTGATATAAAGTTGCCTTAAATTTCACAAAGACTGTTTACATAGTGAAAGAATTTTTAAATTCATTAAAATTATTCAAAAATGAATTCATGTTCACTTTAGAATAAAATTGCTCATATATTTTGCATATAACTTATTCTCATTACTCCATATTTTTAGTACCTAAGATATTATACATCATAATGAAAATTAAACATTGTTATGACACATTCCTTAAAGAACAAGAACAACTGAAATTGTGCATTATACATGCAGTCATCACAGAAATAGATACCAGAAGCCTCACAAAGTACTGCAGTACACTGAAAGTACTCAAATTATTTTTTTCAGATATTAATGGATAATTTTTGCAAGGTCTCATTTAATTTTTAACCAATTATTTTATGTTAGTGAACTTTTCTATCTTCTCATTTCCATTTTCCTGCCATAACGTAAATTTCTAGCTCGCATGATATTCAAATGCAGTAAAAGGAAGACCGTATTTAACCTTCCAGCATGTGCGCTATGCACAAAGTTTACGACAAATTTGGTTTTTAATGCACACTTCTCGCATACTGCAGCTGAGACGTCTCAATGTCATTTCTATTCCTCCTTTTAACCCTTTCCCACATCATGGAATGTGCCAAAAGGAAGTCGTATTTCTTTTTTTGTTTTTTACTGGGCTTTTGCACTATGTGGCAGCTCCTTCGTAAAAGTTACAACATGCGCGTGATCGTGAATGAAAATTCGGAAAGTATTTTTTTCCTCAAATATTTTGTAATTTTGTGTTATAAATTGACGTGTATTATTTTAATTTGGTTAAATTCGACTCTGTAAATTTTATATCAGTTTTCATGGCAAAAAATATGTGCAAACAGCTGATTTTTCTCGCATTCTTGAAGAATTATTTGATAAAGAAAAAAAAAAAAAAAAAAAAAACAAGGAAACCTTTGGATGCGTGAATAATAGCGATCTGAGTGAGGAAAATATAGATATAAATAATATCAGCAGTAGATCTGAACAATATATTTCAGATGACGATAGTAATAATGATATATAAAAATGGAAAGATGATGATATATTCTATGTTAGTAAGAATAAATTTTGTCAGTGGCAAAATCAGAAGTATGCAAACTGCTCAAAGATGAATAAGATGAATATTATGAGCGTTACCTGGCCTAAAACATCATGCAAAGGACATAAAAGATGAAATAGGAACATTTTTGAAAATAGTTGATATAAATATGCTCGATGAAATTTTGGAATGTACAAATAAATATATAACTTTACTAAAAGGCAAAATACTCTAGAGATAGAGACTGCACTGTTTCCTGAGTGGAAAGGATGGCCTAATTTGGATTGTTATACATCATAGGAATAAAAAAAAGACACCATGGAAATGCAAAAGAATTGTTCTCAAATGGTGGCACTGGAATTGAAATAACAAGAGCTGTGATGAGATTTTTATTTTTGACAAGTTGTCTTCGATTAGATGATAAATCGACAGGACTGATGAAGATTAAAACTAGCCTGGATTTTAAAATAGTTATTAAACAATATTTTTTTTTAAATTTCTTTAATAAAATATATCATTGCTTTTCCACCTGACTAATATAAGCGTTTAAAAATAATTTACTATCATTTGAATACGGCATCATTTGTATTTTGCAGTAATAAGGTTAATATTTTATGTTTCAAATTTATTATCAATATTCACTCATTTCTGTCCTTTTATGTGCCCAAAACGGTAAAATAACAGATGTCATAAAAACTACGATCCGCACGTGCTCATGTAAAATTGCCAAGCACGTGTGCTGGAAGGTTAAAGGAAGGTTTCAGAAGGTAGAATTAGAGCATTTTTGCTTGCTAAAAGTCACGTTGCTAAATTTGATTCTCCTGAAGAGTAACAGGATATTATCTTTTAATTTAAATCTTTCGATTCTCCTTTTGTAATGTTCTGTGGCGTTGTTTTCCATGTTAGTTGAATCGTGTAGCTGTAACTTATTTTTACTTTGTTAAGTCTCTTCATTATCTTTGATTTAAGCCATAACTGTTAATTATATATTTTGTAAGCATGTGTGGTGCCTTCTGTTAATTTTTATTTAAATAAAGGGTCTCAAGGGTAAGTATAAATAAATAAATAAAGGGTAATCAAGGAGAAAGGCATTCACACCATCAATGAACTTTCAAATTCGGCCCAAAATCTAGCTATTGTATATACAGATGGTTCCTCCGACTCAGGCCTTGACAAGGGTGGCGCTGGCATCTATTTCATTCATGCTAATGGTGAATCTGAATCCCATAAAATATCTGTTGGTAAAATTGTCTCAAATTATACCTGCAAGCTCATGGCCATCAAAAAGGCTTTAGATATCTACCATTCCAAGGTAATCCAGAACTCCAGTGGCCTCTTATTATTCTTTGGTTACGTAGCATATTCGTAGCATATGTGGTCTACGTAGCATATTCGGAAACTAAGTACCGTTTCATTCTAGCGCCGTCGCAGCGCTGTGGTAGGCGCCCCGCGCATGCGCACTAGTCTTTCTTGTTCACTGACTTTCAATTGTCGCCATTTTGGTTGCTCTATGTTGTGTTTTCAGTTTGCTGTGCACATTCAAAATGTTTAAGACAATTAGTTCTCCCGCTGACTGTGAGATTTGTGCCGTGATTAAATTTTTGAACGCGAGGAATGTTAAACCGGCCAAAATTTATCGTCAAGTGGCAGAAGTTTACGGTGAATACGCGATAAGTGATGAAATGGTGAGAAAGTGGGTAAGAATGTTTAATCAGGTCGAACAAATGTCCACGCCGAGGCTCGGAGTGGTCGGCCTTTTGTTGCCACCAATGATTTGGTAAGGAAAGTTGATGAAGCAATTCATGAGAACAGACGCTTCACAATGACAACTCTTTCAGAGGTATTTCCACAAATTTCACGTACTGTTTTGTTCGAAAATGTATCTGACCGCTTGAATTATCACAAACTGTGTTCCCGATGGGTTCCAAAATGCTCACTGATGTTCACAAAACAAAGCGACTTGGTAGTGCCCTGACATTTCTCACGCGGTACAGTGATGAGGGAGAAAACATTTTAAACCAAACTGTGACAGGTGATGAAACTTGGGTGTGTCATTTCACACCAGAATCAATGGAGTGGAGACCCACTCATTCGCCGAAAAAACAAAAGTTCAAAGTGACAATGTAATCACAAAAAATCATGTGCACTGTCTTTTGGGATAGGAAAGACGTTTTGCTTACTGAATTTCTACCCAGAGGGAAAACCGTTAATCCGGCACAATATTGTGAGACTTTAACAAAACTAAGGCGTACCATTCGAAACAAACGAAGAGGAATGCTCAGTAAAGGAATTGTGTTGCTCCATGACAATGCTCGGCCCCATACTGCTGGTGTCACTCAATCGTTAATTCGACAGTTTCATTGGGAGCAGTTCGATCACCCGCCGTACAGCCCGGACTTGGCGCCATCCGACTATCACTTGTTCCTGCACATGAAGCGCGAGCTTGGTGGCAAGCACTTTGGATCTGACGACGACACGAAAAATGCTGTGGAGTCGTGGTTATCGAAACTGGCAGGAAGTTTCTTTGACGACGGTATACAAAAACTGGTCAGCCGCTATGACAAGTGTTTGATCATTGGCGGAAACTATGTTGAAAAATAGTTTAAGACATGTATTTTCATGTAAAAATAAAATTGGATTAGAAAAAATTGTTTTACTATTTTTTTTCCCCCACAACGGTACTTAGTTTCCGAATACGCCTCGTAAATCTGCGCTCCAAGCCATTCCAGGACATTGTCATGCCCATGAACAAAACTACTGCAGCCCAATGAACCTGCACACTACAGTGGATACCAGCACATGTTGACATTTACAAAAATGAGCAGGCTGATCACCTCGCCAAAGACGCCCGAAACAGTTCTCAACTTTCCAACAGTTTGAACCAAACCAATGATGATGCAATAGCCAGCCGAAGACTTACCTCCCAATCAATCAAGAAGAATTCCATTCCTGCCCTAAATTGTAACTGTTATTTCCGCTAACATAGCCAGACTAAGGACAAAACACTTGAAAGGAACGGAGATATCCTCTGATGGCCAACGCAATTATAATAGCTGTCCTCACTGTAATCCAACTTTCTCCACACCATCTCTTCGACTGTCTTGCTATTTTGGCAAAATATTTATTTTGTTATTTTCAATATAGATATAGCACCCTCGCACAAACTCCTCTATTCTTTGAAAATTACTGATGTTACTGAGGCTGTTCTGCAGACTTTTGGTCCTACCTGACTCTTCTGCACTGACTCCTTGGACAAGACAATAACAACAACAACAAAGGACCCTTGCACCCCTCAGTCTCTATGGTACATTACAAGATATAATAATAATCCATGTAAACTTCTTCAGGCGTTTCATACTGTTAATGTTTTCAGAGAATTCAAAACATTATATAATTTAATAATAAATATGACAAAAAATTGCAAAATATGTAAAAATTCTTTATTACTATTATTATTATTATTATTAAATTGTAATAATTCTGCATTTTAATGCTGTAATTAAATGGATCATACTTGGAACAAATATTACTTGCTTAATTAATGCTATTATTGGTAATAATAATTTTGAAAAGTTTATAATTGTACTTTACTTTTATTGTTAAATAAAAATATAATAGTTTGTAATAGTTACAAGTAATTGTAATTGTTGGCAACCTCAACATGAGCTTCGCTTTTTAGATGTGATCTGCATTGCACTGTGTTTAACATTCTAAGTAGTTCAAAGTTAACTACTGATTGCACTCTGTGATACGCTGAATAGCTGCATGAGCATTCTGGAAAACTCCAGAGCTGTAAAGTGTTTCTTTTGGTAAAATAAATTTTATCAAGCTCTCATCAGTTCTGTATGCATTCAGTTTATTAGGAACCCGTATGCACATTGCAATTTGCATAACATATCTACATATGTGCAATAAACTGGTTTATTAACACTCTAACATTTCTATATTTTCAATACAGTTTGCCAGCCACGTAATCAGGAATGTGGAGTCGGAGTCATGGAATCGGAGTTAGGCAGATTTTTGTGTAAAAAGAGTCGGAGCTGGATTGGCTAAAAATACGTCAACTCCGATTCCAGTTTTTGTAAGACAGTTTGAATTTGAAATGAAATTAAGTGAATTGAAAAAAAAATTTAATAGCAAACTGACTTATTATTTTTATATATGGATTCTATACATTAATAAATATTTAGTTATTTCTTATTTTATTGTCATATTAATAAATAAATATAAGGGAAGAGGATGGATGATGTTTAGATGATGATGCTGAAGAGACATCAAAAGCAAGTCGAGCAAATACATTGTGCAGTCCTAACCTTGCAGCTTCCTGTTAGAGATGGGTTAAAAGAACCCCAAGGTACAAATCTCCTTGGTAAATTTAGGCAAGCAGCAACAGCAGCAAGAACTCCCAAAATTGGTGCCATTACTAGGAGGCGAGCAGGAAAAGGAGCAATTAAGCAATGCAATGGTACATATGTGATGATAAAGAGGTTGTTAGAATTAAGAAATTTTTTTTTTTTTAGAAAATGTAGATAACACAAATGGTTCACTAACAGGGCCCACCAGCGGCCGAGCGGTACAGTCGCTGAACAATGGTAGTTCGGTCCGAGGTTCGAATCCCGCGAACGGGCTGGCTGCATGGGCGTTTTCGTGGTTTTCCCCATGTGTAACGTGTATACGAGCCAGTTTCCCTTAGAAAGTCCTCCACGAAGGCATCCCTCATCTTAGGCAGATAGCCCTCGAGGCTTTGCCATACTCACACACACACACACGCTTCACTAACAGAAAGACTGTGGAATGATGTTGCAAAATTAAAAACTCTTCTTTCTACACCACATATAAGCACAAAAAAAAAAAAAAAAAAAAAGCTACAATCTGAAGAATTAACAGAAGGCTTGTTTCTGTGAGAATGGAAGAATGTGACATTTATTCTTTCTAAAATGGGAGGCCTTATTGAAGAAGGAATCAAGAAAAGAGAAACTAGTTTGATAAACAGTTAGATCTTGCTGGGTTCAATATATGTAGATACGAAACATTGAATTTTGTGGGATGACAAACAAATTAAAAAGGCAGAGAAAGCCATCTATGACCTTTCACTAAGAAGGAAATTATTCTCAGACCAGTTGGAGTATTCATATCAGGACAGTCATACTGCAGACAATGCAACTGAGTATCTATTATCCTCTAAGAAATGCTATGTATGATCACTCTTGTAAGACACCTCTTTTAGAACTAAATACAAGTCTATCCTGAAAAGTTAAAAGAAGTAACCCTAATAGTAACAGCTCTTCCTCCTACTCAGGTTAGTGTGGAAAGACTATTCTAAGCTCTGAAGTTTATCAAATTTAATCTATGGTCCCCTATCAAAGAAGATCTTGCCGAAGCTATACTGTTTTGTAGAAATTAGTAATGCTAGTTTTTTCCATCTCATGCTAATTAAATAAATCTGCTACTTCTTTTATTACTTCTTTTATATTTTAAAAAATAAGTTGTAATGCATGTGTATATGCTTACATATATATGAGGCAGCTGGAATCTTTAAAATTCCAAGGTACAAATCATCCGAGACCGAGTCAAAGTCGGTCATTTTCCCTACTGACTCCCCAGCCCTGCATGTAATACTCAGAATTTAAAACTTTTATTTCATCATATGAAACAAAAATATTGATAATAAAAAAGTATAAATTTAGAGGGAAAAGTTTTTTGTTCTGCATATTAAATACATTTTTGCTTTAATTCTACATTATGATAATTCATATTTCCTAGAAATTCCTAAATCATTTAAATCACAGATAAGCTTAAAATCTGAGTAAGTTTAAATGAGATCACAAAGCAAAACTCACTTGTTATTTGATTCCATTATATAATTAAAGAAACCAGCATTTTCTTTCAAAAGATACAGTGGTACAATTTCAACAATGTCTTTATCAGAAGTTTCACCCCAAAATTTCTCAAAATAGCAGTTGACTTCAAACATATAATCACAGATATCTTTGGTACTTTCTTTTCTCCATTTGCAAATTAAATACCTATATGACATTAAAAAAATACAGAAAAATATAAGAGACAATAAAATTCATTTTCAGTTACTAAAAAAGTTATAAATTTCTCTGCATTAATAAATACAGACATAAGATGACTAAGAAACAACAACAATAATAATAATAATCTTATGGAATTCAGCTCTTACTGTGTTAATTTAGTTCATTTCTTTCTGTCAATCACATTTTGATATTATCTGTTACCTTCAGTTAAGTAACTTTTAAGTAACAAATTAAAGCACCATGAGCAAAACTGTTGGTTTCAGAAATATGTTTCTCTCAAATTCCAGTAAAGTAAAAAGGTACTGAAGTGCTTTTCCATCAATCACTTTCAACAAACAGAAACTGTTGCCAACAGTACAATTCAGTGCCTATAATAGATAAGTGTGACATCAGAACACATTAAAAAAAACTTTATTTAAGTTTTATGGAGTCCCAAGCCTCAATAAGCCTATTTAGTTAATACTTACGTGCTATTGCAACCAATTTAGCAGAAGTAACCAAATTTTCAGAATATGCCAAACTCTGACCACCATGTGAATAATAATTTGTTTGGTCTCCTAGCTCATACTAATCCTTCAATCAAGCAAAATTGTATGCATAATTTTTGTATGTGTTCGTTTTCTTGTATTCCAAGTTCCAATGGTTTTTAAAAATAAATTGTGATATTTTTCCCATTAAACTCTCTTTTAAAATATGTGCTTGCGGAATTTGTCAGCAAGGGAAGAAACTGTGGTAAAATTTCTGCAGTATTCAAAATTTAGCCATAAAATTCCTACAAGGAAAAGAGTTTGGTAGACAACTGTTGTTGATAAGGTTCGCATTAATGCCAAGTTCCTGCAATTCTTTGATGTTTTTTAAAGCGAAATAGATTTTCATGTACTTGGGGAGAAGAACAAAGCAGAAAATTATAGAATGGTTAGGAAAAGAATGTTAAGTGCTTAATTTTTTTTTTAAAGCACCATGTAATCCTTATTTCAAAATTGAGATTTGTGTTTTAAATTGCTAAAATACATTTTCTCTTCGTATACTGATTATGTCTGCCAACATAAGATAAACACTTCTACACTCATGTCCAAAATTATCTTTACATACCCAAAAATGATGATATTCAATGAAATATCGAATCAATGTGATCCGTATTTGCAGGGAATGTGTGAAAACCAAGCCTAATTAGCATTATCCAATCAAAAGTAATCAAACGGTTTGCGATATGCAAATCTAGGTGTTACGTCATCCAAGGGTGAATCGAGTGCTTTGCCCAAACTGAATATTTGAGTGAATTCTGCAACATAGTGTTTGATTGTCAGTGTGCAGGGACTCAAGCGGTTTCTTATGGTTCGAAGTACATTTGGAAGAATCTGTAAAGTGTTGAATTATCGGCCATTTAGAAGCAGGGCAGTCAATCATGGAAACAGCCACATGTCTGAATATTCAAGACAGACAGTCTCTAAGCTATAGAAACAGTTTCAAAATGATGGAAGTGTTGTAAGGAGGCCTGCACAAGGTCGGGAACGAATGACAACTGCTTGTGAAGATCGGTATCTGGCATAATGCCCGCGTAACAGAAGGCTACTGCTCGGCAGTTAAGTTCAGAGCTTGCAGCCGACACCGGAACGTTGCATCACGGCAAAACAATATACAGAAGCTTAATGAAAAAGGCCTTTATGCCAGAAAGCCAAGGGTAGTATGGTTTACTGTCTTCACAGAAAAAAAGGGGATCGCTTTAATTGGTAAAGAACATCAAAACTGGACCTGAACATCAATGGTCCAAGTTTCTTTACTGATGAGTCGCGGTTTAGTTTAATGGTGATCTAAAGTGTTTACCTCTGGAGGAGTCAGGAACACGAAATGATCCCTCGAACATTGTGGAACGTGACCGTTTCGGTAGTGGAGGTTTGTGATGGTATGGGGTGGGGGATTAATGATCGATGGACGTACGCCCCCTACACATGTTCAGCAGCGGATCTGTGACAGGCCAGATATATCGGGAGAGGGTCTTAGATTCCTTATGTAAGACTTTTCAGGGTTGCATTTGGACCTGATTTTTATTTATGGATGATAATGCCCGTCCACATCCGAGCAAACCTCGTTGATGAATTCCTTGAAAAGTGAAGAACATTAAGCGAATACCTTGGCCACCAAACTCTCCTGACCTAACCCGATAGAGAACTTATGGGACTAACCTTGGAAGAGCAATTGCACATATACATCCTCCTCCTAGAGATGTAAATGCTCAGAAGACGGCATTGCTGGAAGAGTGGAGATTAATTCCCCAAACTGTGGTTAACAACGTTTATTTCCAGCCTTAAAACACTTGTGAATGTGTGTACAGTCAGGGGAGATAATTCCATATTAAATTCGTAAGACTTAATTCTTTTTCTGAATCATTCCTTTTTTCTTAACTCTCTTTGTCACACTTTATTACCATTTTATTGTTTCATGCTACAATTTTATATCATATGAGGTGATCTTCAATTTTTTCTGTTGCATTTATGTGTCATCATGTTATGTATGATTCCACGAAAATTCATTAAATTATTAGTCTCTGAGAAATCCGTGAATTTATGCATGTAAACATAATTATGAACATGAGTGTAGTTTGGGAATATTTCTAAAAAAATTTGTGAAAAACCACCAAATTGCACCTGATAAGTAACTTTTACCTTTTCATCTGTAAAAAATCATCACCAAAACGGTTGTACCAAAGTGGTTGTGTTAATATGTAAGTATTATTTAGTTCTTGTAAAGTGTAGTTTTTCCTCTGTTTCTTTTGTTTAAAATAAATAGGCAGTGCAGTAAGAACTGTGCAGACAATGACATAAATAATACTGCAGGGATGACTATTTTTTTGCTAATTTTAAATGCCATAAGAGATCTTTGGCTCCAGAAATAACTTGTGTAAGCTTTAATGAATTTGTTTGCCAGACAATCTCGCAACCTAAGATCATATTTAAGTATTTTCTAATGCTACATTTATAACTTGCATTTGTCGATTATCTAACTAAATAGTGATTATTTAACTAAATGATGAACAATCTATTTCTCCAAAATTCCACCAGCATGAATAGCACAAGTTCCACAGTATCGCCACCAACTTCCATGGCCAATAGAGAAATAGACATATACCATGAAATATATGTGTAATCCTTTCGTTTTAAAGCAGCTAAAATAAGACAATGTAACATCTGTTTAGAACAGCAGAACGAGCTTAGGCATTTTGGAAAACTAAGATATTAGGCAACACTTAGCTACATTATTATCAACACTTAGTGAACACTACTAAGATAATTTTGGTAATGAAATCTATTTTCACTGTCAGCAGATTGATTAAAAAAGATTTTCTGGTTTCTGGCAGTTACTGCACTCAAAATCACTTCAAATAGCCTTTTATTTTTTATGACTCTGCATCCATGTAAACAATGCTAAATAAATAAGCATGTGACTTCCCTCAAATTGTATCCTAATTCTCATTCTAACACTCTGTCAGCAGCTGTCAACAGGGTTGCCATTCAAACAGGAGAATGAAATTCTCTGACCTTTTCAGGTTTTCCAAGTGTGTTTCAAGAAAATTTCAGGCTGTCCGTGTAGTGCGAATTGGTTGTGCTGAGGGTAAATTAATTATGGTACCACTTTAAAATACAAAAATTTGCCAATTACATATGACTTATATATATACATAATCCCCAAAGCATTACTGCATTATTTTTATAACTATAATAGGAGTTGTTTTCTCCACTGAAGTTTGATATTAGAATCTGCCCAATCTGGATTAAAAAATGTCTTTTTTAGTTTGCAGCCAAATGAAAGAAACAAATCTATTTAATGATATTTTCAAATAAATTCAGGTATTTTATATTTATTTAGCAGCATAAGCAAAAAATATGTGCATTAAATTTCATGATGATATGTCATCATACAACTTAGTTTCAGGAGTATGCCAAAGAAATGAAGAAGCTACATTAAATTATACGAATAACATTAAAATAAAGTTAATTAAAGATTAAAAATTGAATTACAATAATGAACGATATTTTGGCTAATATATTCAATGGTTAGTCTAGATAACTGATTACTATTTCCTTTATTTTACTGCAAAATGACAAATAAGGAATTTATTAAAAAAGGAAAGATTTTGTAAAATCCTAGTATATGGTATATTCTTGGCCTGATTTTGAAAATTATCGCCAACAACAAAATGACCCACTTACTGCTCATCCTAATGTTGCCAAATCCCATGTGTAAGTATACGGCACACACGGGATTTGGTGATATTATATTTGGCTTTACACTGATTTTGTTTTATATGAGAATGGGAAGGTATTTTCTTTTGTTCAACATGTACTGCACATGCGAGTATGTGATCTCTCGATTGTCAAAGTTTACTGGAAACTTGCTTTGGCTTTCTAAAAGATAATGTGATTGAAGCTACGAAAATTGGCTCTACATTAGCTGCCCAAATGATGCTTACGCAATATTTAAGTCACCAAGAAAGTGATTGCTTCCAACACTGGTGCAAAAATCGCTTTTATGAGGATCGCCGTATGAAATTTCCTGACTTTTCCAGATTTTGAGTACAATATTTAAATTCCATGACATTTTTGGTCAATTTTCGAATTCTCTGACTTTTCCCAGTTTTCCAGGTAGCGTGGCAACCCTGAAAACACTGTCCGAAGAACTCTCCATGTAAGAATGGTTACTCAAAAAATACCACAATGCACATAATGAATTTGCTGTAATTAATCCAAATGCTGAAACAAAATATAATTTTGTTTCAATTTGTTGAAATTTATTATTGAAACAAAATATAATTTTGTTTCAATAATAAATTTCAATAATTCAATTTGTTAAATTGATAATTTAACAAATATCAAAAACAATTCCCATCATTTCTTAGCTACCCCCCAAAAGGAGCGCAAACAAGGAAGAAGAGGAATGGAAAATTTCGAATTTGTCTAATGTATAATATGATAAACCCATACCTGTTCCTCATAGAAATTTTTTCATGAAGGCACTTTCTTCTCAAAGGCAACATATTATTTTGTGATCTGCTGTTTTTACTGACCTAAATTACACTTTGGAATTAAGGACTTTGGGGGGAGCTGTTTTTTCCCTCTCTCTATAAAATTCATATCCTGCACTTTTTAAGCAATTCAATTTGGAAACTGAATATACATATATATTTCTATCTTATTAGACATACAAAAAGCATTTTTACTTATAACAATGCAATGTTGCTCGAAAACACAGAGTTTACAAAAACAGATATTCAATTTACATATGCTGCCAAGAAAAAGAAAAAATACGAAAAACACGAAATCACACACATATATATATACTCATCATAAAGCAGAAAATAAAGAATCAAAAAGTAAAATAAAGAAATAAGTTCTTTCACTTAAACAGCTTAATTTACAAGTTTGACAAAATTTTTACATGAAATGGTGCAATTTATTTTGAAAAATGTTAATTTAAAAAACATATGTCTAAAGATTTATTGAAAATTTTATCAGATATTAAAAATTTTAAATATATTTCAGCTACAAACTTCATATTCTAAATACATTTTAGCTATTTCATAGATTAAAACTATCTTAAAGAATATGAAATTAACCAGTCCATTAAAAATATGGGAAAATGGTATTATATTACCTGATTAATATCTCAAAGAGAAATCAACAAATTTTAAGTAGAACAAAAATACTCAAACATTTAAAAGGTTTTATAGAAAAATAATAGTTTAATCCATTTTTGCACATCTGTTAACAATAGTAGCAGATCGTGCTTTCTTGAGAACAAAACAAGCTCATACTCATTGCTATGTAAGCCTGTTTTTTGATAATAAAGTTTTTTCACTGTATCATCATTTATACTGAGTTAATTACTAATATTTGTCTTAATAACATTTTGTTCCTTTTTTTCCCTAAAAAATAAGTGAACAATGTAACTTATGCTGCCATTGTGCTTTTATGTACACACATTTAAGAACATCGACACTCCTCCCCCCCCAATGTGGTATCCAAATACTGCAATGAAAAACATTACCACAAATGTATTACATATTCTTGATGAAATAATGCAAAGAAAGTTATCTGTATATGTTTTTTGAACCGTTTTATTTTTGCTAGATATAACAAAGACAAAAGATCACAATTTCTCAAACAACCACACAAGCATGACAAACTTTCCTTACTTAGCAATGCTAGAAGTACAGAGAACTGCTTTGATATTGCTTTGTGGTTATTAGCTGATGTGTTCCAGATGGCCTGCAGTTGTGTTTGATGCCCATTAGAGAACTAGATCATATTTCCAAATGCATCTACTTCCATAGTATAATGCTTTTTCTTTCTTTGGATAGTCAAAATAAAAATCGAATGATTTTCAAAGGGAAGAAATCAGAAATGGGGGGATAATGAAATATTATATAAAAATTAATAAAAATCATGATTTTAGGAACAAGTCTGGAGAAATATGTTGTAAACCACGTTGCCGTGAGTGTGGTTAAAAATGGTTTGCCATTGCTCCCCCCCCAAAAAAAATGCATACAATGCTGTGTGAAAAAATATATTAAAGAAAATACACTAATCTTCTCCAATCCATTAACTCCACATCTATTTATTACAGCCACCTTTACCCTCATGATATTTTTAACAAAATTAAAAAATAATAAAAAGACAGGAGGGGGAATAATTATGATAATTAGAAAATCAGCAGATTCTTCTACAAAGCACACATGATAATTACCAGATAGAACATTAGAAGAATCTACAAAGTTCCAATAAGATATCTTTTTAATATCCTTTGAAGAATTTGCATATTAAACTTATTTTAAGTAATACAAAAGTTTTTCAATAGTGTCTTTATTACCATAAAAATCCAATTAAACACAGTAATTAACGGAAAACCTGAAACACGATTGCAAACTTTTACTTGCTTATATATTATTAACAATTTTAATGACTGTCTTGTGAATAAAATTTGAAAAGAAAAATTAAGCACATATGTGTACATGCACATGCATGCAAACATTTTAATACATGTGCATACTTAATTTTAATCTGCTTATGTTTATACATAAAAATATGATTTATATTTATTTAATTAAAAAAACTTCAACTTCAAAATATGATATATGGAATTTACCTTTCTGAATTTGCAGGCCTACTGGTATTTGGCTTAAAAATACAAATTTTCTCAAAAGCATGATACATTAAATAGACTAGTCCAACACTAAAGGGGGTGAAGAGATCAAATAATTTACAGACGAAATTACCTCCTGAAAAAGAAAGAAATATTATAAGTATAAAAAAAAGCATATGCATATAGTTTCTCGAAAAGTTTTACTAAATGGCAATAAAACCATCTCATTCAGTGTGGTTGTGTAATTGAATAATTATATTAGCTTTATTAAATTCATGTCCCTCCCTCCAAAAGCTTGATGGCATCATCACTGTATCACTATCAGCTTCTAAATCTAATTTCCTGCAAAGATTGACAATTTTTATAACGGGAGTGAACTGATCAGTTTCTGATTTTGCCTTTGTCTTACTTTTGGAAAAGAATGGATCAATTTTCTTCCAGCTATCATTCCAAGAATCTGGGAAATTTTATTCTAAAATTATGCTACAAAAATAAAAACCACATAATTTTAAGTTCTTGCAAGTTAAGGCATAACTGTTCCTGCAGTTACTCAGAAAACGTCGTTGTCCAAGTAAACATTCTGCTCTGTCTAGATATTAATTGAATATATTAGTCCTAGATGATCTAGATCTTAGTCTAGGTCTAGGGCTTTTCTTAACTGAATCATTTGTATAAAGAATCAATAGTTAGAAACTGGTTTCCACATTCTATGACCAGCAGAAATTTAGTCATCATACTATCAAAATTTTCATGCAGCTGATAATCCCGTCATAATTTGTTTGGCAATGTATTGTGGTTTTTCTTACAACATTAACCTTGAATTTTTCTTTTATTATTTATTTTTTCATATACTTAGAAAAATGAGTAAGCTGATGTACCGATTTCAGTTAACTAATTACAGTTGAAACAATAATTACTGTTTAGAGCAAACATACACACAAAGTTGTGTATTTAACAACAGTAGATTACAGAGTACCAAGCAACAACAGCTGTAACAGCAGTTGATAACACAACTAAATTTGATGAAAGTTTACAGTTTGTAAGCAGAGTATCAGAAGATTTTTTTAACTGCTCCTAATCAACATATACGTAAAACAGATTTTCATTAATTAAAAAACAAAAATAAATAGAAATGTGCATACAAAAATGAGTTTACCTAAAAACTCTCAAAGTTGCAAAATCAAAAACATTAAGCCCTGTGAGATTTTATTAGGTGAAATCAATGTTCTATCACTAGATGAATCTTTAAAAAAAAAGAACTTATAATCAAATTTCAACAAGTGACATGAAATGAAAAAGAAGTTCAGTCTCAAATCTAAAACACTAGTATAATCTCATAGGACGAAAATCTAAACTTTAAAATTAAACGTACTCTGTATTTAGCACTTATTAGACCAATTTTGCTTTATGCAGCCCTAGCCTGGGCCATGGTGTTAAAGATAGAACAAAGGAAAATTAACCTCCTGCAAAATAAAATACTAAGAGCGATGATTAATGTGCCTTGGTATGTTAGAAATATGATCATTTATAAAGATTTAAAAATTAAACCAATACCAGAGCAGATACTAATGGATGCTCACAACTTTTTTGAGAAAATGGAGAATTCGCCAGTCAATACTCTGAGAGTTACGAACTATGATACCACTGTGGAAAACGTTGTGAAACGACCTAGGTCAATTCACCACAATGTAAAGTGGTGGTAGCTGTAAATATGTATACAGTTTTATCCTACTTATTTCATTTTATTCAAATATTTAATCAAGCACTTAATCCTAGTATTTATCCAAGTATTTAACAAAGATTTATTTTGTGTTTGTGAATTTGTGTTTGTGTTTACTACTAAGAATATGGACTTAGTGCCCGGACAGGCAAAGAATTTTAGTGTTATTCGCACAAAGCGTAAATAATCAAACTCACCACGCCTACCAATGTGGATCCAACCGCATTGGCTAGTACCAATCACGTGATGCTCATACCCTGAATCCTCAAGAATTAGATATTATTTTCTCGAATCTCTCACTAAGCAGTTTTATATTCTTCAGTCAAGACTCAAATGATTTTTATGACTTAAAAATTGAAATTTTTGTAGTGTACGCCACCTTGACTTGCCACCTTAAAGCTCTGATTGCCTGATCTCTCAGACTCTTTATTTTCGCCTTCGGGTGAGTGCTGTGATATCGCCCTAAATTTTTCTACAACCCTGAATGGCCCTATGGCAAGTTAGAATGATCAGGTTTAAACTCTAAGAAGTTGATGCCTGTAGTGAAAGTAAAGCATAAGCATAAAACATTGGAGTAAAAGTTTCAGTTTCTGATGAATGCTCATCATTTTATAAATTTTGCTGACACACATCTGAATTTTCACTATTACTTTGTTCTACCAAATTAGCATGTCTGCAATTTAGCAATAAATTAATACCACTTACTGTTACTAAGGGATATGATTAACAGGCATGAATGAATGGGTCACAAAATTATTAATTTTCCAGATATGCATTCAATTACGGAGAATGTACCTTAATATCTCCATCAACTTAGACAATAAGATTTTGAGAGAAATTCCTATCTCCATTATTAGAACTATGAATGAATGGGACATAAAAACATTTCCTTTTCAAGAATGCATGCAAATTATTTAGAAAAAGTTTTCATATGAATAGATATGAGTAAAAATATTATTAACACACAAAGAGTTTACAGTAAAAACAACTTCCCCTCCCCAAAAAAGGCCTATGGCATAAAGATTTAATCTCAGTACTTTTATGAACATTTATATTTTATTTTTCACAGAAAAGTTTTCATGTTATTTATATGATTGATGGATGCAGTCTTTGTTAAAACTTCCCATGAAAAACAGTTTCAAATACACGTCAAACTTAATGAAAACTTAAATGTCAACAACAGAACAAAAATTTTACCTTCACGCAAAATTGAAAGTGCACAGAGGAACTGACATAGATACAATCTTTTAGATAAAATTTCTTGTTCATTTTCTTGCCCTTCAACAGAAAATCCCTACAGAAAAATAAAATAAAATTACTTCATTCTTCATTATCAGTTCAATAACTTAGCATCATATGTTCTTTTTTTTAAAAAGGCATAAACTTAAAAATACTTTTACACAGCTAATTTAACCCTCCGAGTGTTATGGGTTTAGCCCTGAAATTTCAAAGTTCCTCAAAATGTCGTGATTAAGTGGTATTTTCTAGATTTTAATTAAAAAATTACTCTTTCATTTTGTACCTTGATTCCTTTTCTTCCAATATACATCCAAACTGAAATCAGATACATGAAAAGCTAGCAGAAATTTTCCTGTTTATAATGAATATAGAAGGCAGCCTTCTTTACAGAATTTTCCGGCCGTAATGCTGAGAGGGTTAAAAGCATACTGAGGTACTGCACCACTATAAAACCTGATACATATTAATCTGAAATAACATTTGATTCATTCAGTATGAACACAGTCAATATGAATTTGCATCAGAATAAACTACATTAGATTTCTTATGCATATAACAAGAAACAAGAAGGAAAAAAATCATGTACAATATCAAAACTCTTGAAAAACCCAGAAATTGTTCTCTCTGTTTTTGATGAGAATCTGATGAACTCTAAAAAAATAAAAACACACAAGGAAAACGATCTTGACAATGCTTTGTCACTGCAGTCAAAAGTCGGTTTCATTACTAATTGACCATTTACATAAATACAGACTGAAAAATCTGCCAAGAACGTGGACTATCATGATTTTATGTTATGTAATGGGTTAGTAGATCATTTTAAAAACACACTGAACTCCAAACTATCAGCAACATCTGTACAAAACATTATACACCAAATTATCAACAACATCTGCACAAAAGGAAACCAAAAATGACAGGATTCAAAATGTATTGCTTTAACTAGTGTTTGGGGGAAAATAAAAACATCTTCAGTGCAGATGAGACAGGAATTTTTTACCAATAATGGCTGTTAAAACTTAAATTCAGAGGTAAAAAGTGCAGTGGGGGTTAAAACAACAAAAGAAAGGATAATGACAAGCATTGAAAATCAGAAGTTATGAGTTGATGGAAAACCAAACTATGATACCTCAAAACGCTAAACTCTTCCTGTCATTTAGATAATGGATCGCAAAGTGTGGATGACACTTGAAACATTTCTAGTGTGATAAATAATTTCGTTATTAGATAATTGTCCCACTTATTCTTCCATGCAAAATCTGCAAAACATTAGCTCTTCTTCTACCTCCAAATACAACTACAGTTTTACTGACACTTTATCAGAGAGTAGTTAAAAGTTTCAAATGTTTTTTAGATGCTCTTTAATCTTAAATCTGAATAGAAAGGTGGAAAAGAAATTAGAGCCACAGTTAATCTATTAGATGCAATTTATGTTTCAGATGATGCGTGGAAACATGTAACAGATGTCACAATTCAGAGGTTTTTTTTATGAAAATAGGTTTCAAATAGATGGCTTCATTTAAATGATTTTGTTGTTGAAGATGATGAAGCAAAAATGACTTTACTAACCAGTAAATATATTTTATAAGATATCACCCGAAAATAATCCTATAAAAGATGAAAGTTAGAATAAGTAAACATCAACTGACTCGTGATAAATCTGCCTACAAAATTATGATCAACCTAAAGAAACACTACACATTTTAATTTGAAGAGTCCCATTAGTGGCTAAATGATTAAAACTATTAAAATAGTAACTTACAACTTAATTTCGAAGCCAGGCAAATGGGCTGGCCGCATGGTTGGTTTTTGTGGTTTTCCCCATGTAAAATGTGATTAATTAGATAACCTTTAATTTAATTAACCCTTAATTATATAACAATCATGCACTTTATAATAGTAAATAACCTAACCTTTAATGCAACTTTATGAAACATAGCCCAGAGGAAAAAAATGCACAGATGACATTATGTGTTTTACACAGAAATCAAAGACAAATTTAAATACACCAAAAAAGTAATTAAAATTTAAAACATTAAATTATAGGTCGCATAAATAAATTTGGTGATTTTTATCATATGCATTTATCATATGCATATATTAGCATCTTTTTCTTCCATTTCTTATTCGTTTCCAGGTATTGTGAGTAACAGCAAATCATTGACTGCATATATAATTACAACATTACAAAAAAATTAAAATGCAAATTAGGTTTGAAAACATTTCATAACATGAATTTTCATTAAATTTTGATAAAATTCAGATTTAGCTGAGTTTTTAATAGTTTCATTAAATATCAGACATCAGCTAGTTACTACAGACTATTGATTACATCAACGTTTCTTAAAGTTTGGAGTACGACCCCAAAGCTTATTAAATCCAAATGCCATTCATCACGGAAAATGTTTGAGCATACTTTATGTCCAGCACTGCCAAATATTGCACCAAAATTTAATTTGTTATGCAGCAAAAAACAAGCATCTGTCTCATTGTTCTTCACAAGCAATTTACAATTCATTTTCTCACAAGCATCTGTCTCTCCTCTTTTGATGTTCTTTCGTTAATTTTTGTGTACTCGAAACAAATCCTAAAACTGTAAGGGGGTTATAATTTAAGTTACTTTATTTAGACCTACGTAGAGCCCATTCTGATAAACTTATTTCTTTGAAACTTGGTATATGTGTTACAGGGACCGAGGGAAAAAGAAAACTGAAATACAAAATAATAGTTCAAATTCCAACCACCAGTTGATGAGGGAACACATGAAAAACAAAAACCCTAAACTGGAAACATAAAACTTAATCTAATTGTAGTATTTGTTCAATGTGCATTTCATTTGCAACAATCACACATTCAAAGCGCGTTACTGCACATTAATAATAGCGCAATGGGTTTCTCGATCAATTGCTGCTACATGACCTGTTATGCTTGGTTGCAATTCAGGCATAGTGTGTATGGTTCCACTGCACACAAGATTTCTCAGGAATTCCCACAGCCAGATATCACAGGGATTCAAATCCTGAGAATGAGGAGGCCAGGCAATAGGAAATCCTCAAAATTACTGAATCATCTCTAAAGTGAGCTCAAAGCAGTGCCTTCATTCATGGAGGTAAGAAAGGAGGGAAGGGCCAATACCACACTATGAGTGAAGCACTGCTTCAAAGCTTCGGTCTCCAGATGGAGTGTTTTTTGTTTACATTCAAAGGCTCCTTTGACTGATAGTATTTTGACACATGACAGTTCAATACAAATCGAAAAATGGAACATTTCTGCATAAAAGAAACATTCGTTGCATGATGGATAATACCAAGTTGTATAGTGACATTTATGCAAAAATCACATCTTGGTTATTTTTTATAACTAACAACCGTGATTTTAATTATGAATTTGTTTTATAAAATTCTAAGCTGTGAACTACAAAAATATAGATTTTAACAAAAATGTTATGCTTAAAGAATGAAAAATACCTTATGGTACCTTTAAAATTGTATACGTCTTTCGATAAAACCTCGATAGAGTATTCGCTTTTATTTTATGTCCCAAACGCCAAAATGTTTTAATTAAATACTTTTTTTTGTCATTCACATATTACTGTAACATGTACTTTTTAAAAAATTTTCAAGAAGAGGCTTTATAGATGCTCATTTTACAAATCATCATTTTATTTTTATATAACTGAAACATAATCACAAAATGTATCCTAAAACATACTTTAAGTCAAAAGTTTTAAATTTGATGACTAAATGTAAATATAAAATTATGCATGTTAAAATATTTATAATTAGGCACATAGGTCAGGCTATGTTTTTATCAAATGGAGTAAGGTATGCAAGGACTATCTGCCAAAAGGGAGAGATCCCATTGTGGAGGAATTTCGAGAAAAAACTGACTTTTGAGTGGGTATTAAAAATAATGCATGTAATTTTCATTCAAATTATATTTTTACATATTTCTTATGTAAAAATTTCGGGTATATGCTAAATTATTGTAAATTACTTTACTTGAAAAATATAGTGAACGCACAGAAATTAAAGATTTGCATGTGCCGAAAATGAAAAATGTGAAATATGTATGGGTATTTATGCATCTGCTTGCAAAAAGCATGTATCTGCCTTTAACAAAATACATAAATATTTATGAAATTATTTATAAATGTATTTGAAATGAAGGATTTATTCATTCGTAAACTTCTGTGAAAGTTACTGTGAAGAAATCTAATTATTAAATGCATCTAAATGTATAATGATTATAAATATTATCTAAATATATAATAACCTTAACGTTGAATTGTAAACATAGATTGAAATCCTGTTGATAAATGTGTTTATAAAACTATTTAAGCAAGAATTGTTCGTACTGGAAAGGAATCTGTTAACATGAAAAGAAAATTTTATGACATGTGTACTTAATAAAGAAGAGTTTTAGAATATGTATTGTTGAAATTAAGAGTAAAAAAAATCTGATAAGTATGGATAAAAGAATTATTCCCTTACATTTTATAACTCAGTTACAAGTTTTCAATAATATTTTTTTAAAGAACATTTTTTTAAATTTTCTTTCAGAAATATTCAGAGAAAGTTAAGCCTCAAAAGCTAAAAAGCCATGTCATATTTGAGAAAGTATTTTAGGAAGAAGCTGTATAAATAGAAAAGAAATAATGCATAATTTTAATATTAATAATAGAAAATAAATCATGAAAAGAAAAAAAGGGGGGAAAAGGGGGAGGAAAAAAGAAAGTCTGAAAGGTTTCAGATTTTAAATTACGTTCAAGGTTTTTTTTTTTAAATATTTTTAACATTTATTAAATACCATGTTCTTTGCACTTAAACCATAAAATTCAGTTCAAGAGCAATATCGCGAAATAATTTTAAATTGATCCTACGTTTAGAATTTCCGATATACAGTCTCACCCGCTGAAGATAAAAATGTTTTTCCTGTACAACGTTGCCATTGCTCGCTTTGAAATCCTTGAGTTTGTTAATCAAAAATTGATTAAAGTTTTAGATATATGAAATCGATAATAAAACAAATTCCAAATTTGGGCTTCCTGATGCCCATATATTCACAGTAGGATTACGTCATTCAAAATTTGATGGCTCTAGGACCGTTGTTTTATCACAATGCGAGACATACATGTATGCAGATTCTTCATTATTTAATTTCTTCAAATATAATACAGGGCAATAATATTTGGTGGCAACAGATTGAAAAGTGAAACGGATATTCAGAGTGATTCGACACAAAATTGCAAAATGAAAACAATAGTCTCTCAGGGACAAAGCCCCTTTGGACTAATAATTTTAATATTAATAATACAATAAATTTTGGTCTTAATTTTTGTAATCCTTAACTGAATAAAATCGAATTACCTTAAAATTTTTTCCTAATGTAATTAACAAAAACTTGTAAAAATATTCAAATTAAACTGTTCTGTGAAAAGTATAGCATTTAATTCCATTCAGAATGAAATGTTGTTTAAAAAGGTACTTTTCCGTTTCGCCAGCGCAAATCTCGCCAAGCAGACTTTGTTGGCGACAACATACAGTATACACATAAAAAATGTTAATTCTAAGAATTTTTTTTTATTTTGAAGGCATAAACATTTTAATATGGTTTAAAATTTTGTAAAAAGCCAATAAATAAAGACAATAAATTTGTAAAAAGACATTAATTTAAGAATTTACTATGATTTCATGGTTCAATATCCTGATTCGCCAAGTGATGTCATCTCACGTAAACTACGCTACTAAAATCTAATTCGCTCAGTAGTTATCTACATTAATTTCAAGTTAAATCTTAATTTGGAATACAAGTTTAAATGCAAGAATTATTTCAATTCGTACGAATAGCTTACTCAGAAATTATGTAAAACCGCAGTGCTTTACTTCGCTAGTGCATTCTCATTAGAATTGATGAATTTAACACTTGATTTCGCCTTCGGATGAGCGGTGTAATTGCGTTCTAATTGACTTAGAATAATTGACTTATTACCGTGAATTGTCTTAGGGGATAAAATTTAAATATCGTGTAAAAATTCTATATTATTGTATGCCAGTATTGAAAGAAACAATCTGATAAGAAATGGCTTCAACATGTTTTGAAACTGAGGCGTAAAAGGTTACCAACAAAGATATTCCGTCTGGCATCAGTTAAACCATTATTGGCGACTTTATCGTTTGCGCCGTCAAAACGGAAAAGTACCTTTAAAAATGTATTCTTTCACATAATTAGGGCTCTGAAATATTGTAGAAAACGAAAATAAATACATTTATATGTATATTTACGACGTAATTACAAAATATTTACATTCGATTATGTCAAAAGCCATTGATCTTAATGGTAAGTCACTCAATGTTTTGGTCACCATAAAGAGACTACCAGTGCTTCAGTGTACGGGGAAAACAGGTTAGAGCCACTCCTCTTACTTCCTAGCTCCAGGCCTTCATTAGTAAGGTGATATGAAGATCTTACATGGAGACAGTAGCCTCTAACCATTCTTGCTCTTGTAAGGCAGGAATGATTTGCTGCTGAAAAGATTCACAGAAATGGGCACCTGTAGAATTTGTAGTACTCCACATGTAACAGTTTTGAGTATTAAACTGTATGAGTACTGGCTTTTTAAAACACTCCAAATATGCATAACTTCCTTTTGACATTGTATTTTCCTGTACATTCTTTTCGACCATCTGTTGGTCGAAATTTGAACTATTATTTCTTTACTGCAGTTTTCTTTTCTTTGTGGTCCACATAAAGTAGGTACCATGTTTCAACAAAATAAGTCTACCAGAACAGGCTCCACACGGCTCTAGGGTAACTTTAATTATAGCCACCTGTTAATTCTTTTCATATGTTCATTGTTTCATATATTTACCAAAGGAAAAAATTATTTATGGGTAAATATTTGTTTAAATAACTTTATTTTACATTTAATACCTGAGGTCATGAAAAACTCTTTGTATTAAAAAGGAGTCATGAATAAAAACAAGCACTGGATTATATGAATGCGATATGGTATTTCCACTATAAATATAACCTGAAATGCAGTAATCACGTAATGTCATTCAGTGACTTAAACTATTCAGTGACTGACATTCAGACAGCTACTTCAATGATTAAATGTGCCACCTTTACCGATATAGGGGTTAGCAATGCTAATTGCCATAGCCATACTGTTGGGCTCTAGTTTGAATCCTGGGGAAAATGTAATTCTTTAAAAGAAGTGGCCAGAAAGTGGTGAAACTTGGCAAACAGAGAGAGACAGCAACGAACAGTAAGTGATCTTTATTTCAAAATGATATGCATAATAATACAGAGCGAGAAGAGTGTCAGCTCAGTAGACTGTAGAACCACCTTGTATGGTGATACACCTTGGACCACCTTGTATGGTGATACATGAAGCAACACGTCTAGATACAGAGTCAATGCACCTACGGATGGTGTCCTGAGGAATGGCTCTCCATTCCCTGTCAACCATTTGCTATCGTTCGTCTTCTGAACGTGGGAATTAAACAGCCTGGAAATGGCATGTAATCAATCACATCTCAAATTCGATTGGTGAAAGATCAGGAGAGAACAGTGGCCAGGGAAGCTATTGTACACCTTGTAGAGCACATTGGCTGGTGCAAGCAGTGTACAGACAGATATTATCCTGCTGATAAGGGGCATTGGGCAATCCCTGAAGGGGGAGTGTCACCAGCCGCAGCACATCATCCATGTATCGTTGGGGTATTATAGTGTTCTGAAGAACCAGGAATGGTACACAATTGCACCACAAAACCATGATGTCACGTCGCGCAGTGGGGCATTCCACAATTGCTGTTGGGATTGGACCTGTCTTGACAACGACACTACATTCCTATGCATTGACTATCATTGCAGAAACAGAAGCGTGACTCATCTGAAAACACAACCTTGAGCCATTCTGTCGCCCACATTGCTCGAGCCGGGCACTATTGCAGAAGTTGGCGTCAATGTAGTAGGGTCAATGGCAGTCTTCTTAATGGACATGAGTGCAAGCCACTAGCCACCCACTGATGGAAAATGGTTCTGGTTTATATGGGAACATCTAAGGTGTCTTAAACATGCTGCAGAATCGAGACAGAAGTGGCTTGCAGGTGCACCACAGCTTGTTGGTGGATACGTCGATCCACACATGTTGACGACACTCTGGCTACATTGGCTCCTCTCAAACTCGCCACATTTCCTGTGATGAGATTTTCCATATGGACCAATCTGGCCTTCTCAGTCTGATTACCCTGCCCCTCATAAAATCATTTATCTGCTGGAACTGCCTCTGTTGATGACAGCTTAGCATTCTAGCCTATTACATGTGTCCTCTGAGACAAGAATAAATTTTCTATGATGATTTTCCTAGCAGAAATAATGGCCCCAAAATAGAAAATTCTGCAGGTTCCTTCCCTTATATCTTCTTTAATGAGTGCTGGAGAGCTGCACATTTTACATCATTCGCATAACTCGGAAGTGCGTCTACCCTGAAATTTGCATAATTTTTGGGCCACTCCTTCTTGGTGTTGCATTTTCAATGTCAGGTAATATACACAGCAAGCCAGAAGTCCTCTTGAATGGGGTGGTGGTATGGAAAGAGGAGTGGAAGATTCTTAGACATCTCTTCCCAAGGAATTCTCCTTCAAAATTGTGATGGAATTAATTAAAGTCATAGTGTCATCTATGAGGTGCTCAAGGTCCCTGTGGATGACATATGCATTACTACACTCCTAGCCCCAATAAAAATCTTAGACATGTACTGCTGCTAATGTCAGACAGATGAAAGAATTGGTTGTGAATTGAAATTATCCTTTATCTAAACATTAAAACTGATTATTCCAATGCAACCTGATTCTACTGAGCTCGAACAGCTAAGGCCCTACTAGATTTTGTGCAGTTTCTTTCACATGTTATGATCAATGATGATCATTTAATAAGTATCAATTAAACATGATATTCTGATGTAGAAAAAACATACAAAGAGACTGCAAAATTTGTATTGCTTCAATCTATCCCTTACACAATCTGGCACATGGAAGAATACTTTAGAAAAATCCATACAAAATATTCACAAAGAAATTTACAAAGGTAGCAAAATTGATAGGAATTGATAAATGCAGAATTATAAGCTACTGTGTGCTAAATAATGCCGTGTACAATATATCTTTTTTAAAATATATTTAAAATATGATACTCAGATTTAGAAAATTTTAAATTAGAAAGCTATTATTTAGTTCAAAACTGTACTACTTTTAATGACTTCAAAATTTACTATAATTTGAAAGAACAGAAATCATTTTAAAAATTTTTAATTCAAATCTTGATTCAAATAATGATTTCAGTTTGATAAAGTAGCTCAAAACTCATAAACTACATTAATTTATAGAACATTATTATTAGTTTCAAGCTCAGCAAACTTTCCCCATATTTAAATTCCAAAAATAAACATGGGGGGGGGGAAGAAGAGAAAAAGTAACTTTAACTATCATTTCTCTAGCCATAATAAAATACATGTATAACTAATAGGAACAATAAAAAGAAATCAAAATGGAAAAACAGTACTTACACCATCAGCCATAACCACTTCTACTCCCCTATTATCTGTATTTTCCAAGACAAATTTTCGAAACTCTTTAAGATTTTCGGGGTCATAAATGTCTCCATCACCTTTCTTACCTAAATTTTAAAAATTGAAATAATTTAAATGATACCTTAAAACACAAAAATCAAATCTATATGAAACTAGTTAGAATTATTCAGGCTCATATGATGAACAAAATGGTTGACAAACAGATTATCTGAACAAAAATTATCTTAGATGACAAATGGTGTATCGAGAGATGAACACTCAAGTAAGCAACAAATAATTTTTCAGTGCTTTGAGGTAATCTATGACACAGAATCAAAACTCAGACTTCTATAAATATCATTTTAATGTTTTACATTGTCAAGTAAAGCCTAGAAGTGAGTGTTTTACACTAGTAGTTTCAAAATGGCAAATCACAGGATGTATATGGTCCCAAAGCAGTTTTATAGGGCCTGTAAATGCATTTAAGTTATGTATTTGTTGTGAAAATGGTGTTGCAGTTAGTTATAGTTATTTGAAGTCTGCACTGACATAATTTTCATTACCATTTAAATTAATACTAATCACACATAAAAAATCAATAAATGCAGCTAATTATTTTACAATGAGATATCAATCATATTCAAACATTTGCAGATATATATTTTATTAACTTTTATTCATACTTATCAAAATATGAAAAGGCTCAGGTACAAATAATTTCACATGACTGACCAATTGCATGTAATAATCCGTGATAAAGATAATTTCTAATCCAAGGCCACAAACCTTATCAGAATCAAAACATCATCAAGTATCAAAGTGTAGTAAGAAATAAGGAAGTTTATGATTACTTTAATATATAAGCATATGTATTTTTAAATAAATGTCAAAGAAAAATTTAATAAATAAGACACTTGGTTGTCATTATTTTTTTTTAACTTCATCCCACTTGGAAAATGTTCACTGAAAATTTAGTTTTTATAATTGGTTTAGTTTAAATTAAGGTAAATTATTTAATGGTTAATTAAATTAAATCAAAACATGCTACAATTATTTGAAAGAAATGTCAGTATGAAAATTTAATATTTAACAATTAGTATACCTGAATTACAAAGTGTAACCAGCAAAAATGTTTTGCAGATACCAAATTTTCAAGCAGAAAATAATTTTTGAAATTTTTCCTTCTATGCGATATTATTGTTATTGTTTAGGTATATTTTGATTAAGTAAGTAAAATTTAAACTTTTATTAAAGTTTTTTATTTATAAAATATTTCATTTCATTAAAAAAAAATTGGTCCATGAGCTATTTTCAGATTGCTCATTTGATCTTAAAGTGACTGCTATACTGTTGGACATTTTGTCATTGTTGCTGTTATCTGTAATATTGTATCTCTACACAAAGCCATGTTGGAAATCAACAGTGAAGATGTACAGGAGTTACAAGAGAAAATGAAAATAAGCTCAAGAAGAAATAATTAGAGCAACTTTAGAAGTAGCAATAAAAGGTGACTATGGGGGAAATATCTTCAGAAGAAGGGAAAGTGAAGATAATCCTGGTTCTTTGATCCATAAAATTGAGAAGGTGTCTACAGTTTTCATGTAGTAATAGCAAGAAATAGGAAGCTACAGCAGATGCATTTTCAATGGGAATGACATGTTTTACTTTGAAAACTGTAGATAATAACAAATCACATTGTACAAATTTTGACTGGAATGGAAGACAGTACATCTCACAGTCGAATAGTGCTAAATAAATGATAAAAACAGATACTCCAAAAGAAAAAAGGCTATCTAATGTTTTTATGAAAATGAATGATTCATCTGAACAAGAACGTCTTTTCCCTTGCCCTTTCTCATCATTTTGTAGCTATGACATCCACTCTCCTTTCTACAATATTGTAAAATTTAATCAAGTTTTATTTTATTTTATTTACTCAATACCAAGTTTACCTCTTTTGTTTCATATTTAATGATTTAGGTCATTAAATCTAAGACAGTTTTATATCATGAAACTTGTACACAAAACACTTAAAAAGTTTAAACGAGCAATCTCTTGTGGTCACTTGTTAATCCACAATTAATGTTACAGATGATAAACAATCTTCAGAAATGCCTTACATTCATGAGCTGAGGTTTCAATGTATTATCACAAAAAAGAGGAAAGGAGACAAATGAAAAACAATATTTTCTATCTCACTTCTATACCCAAAAAAATTGTAAATACCCTTTATTGTAAGATCATGCTACACAAATTTATCTCTGTTATTATCAAGCAATGAAGAATCTATAGGTAAAAGTATAGTTTAGGCTACCCTTTGGCGAAACTTGGCGATTTTTGGCGGTACATGGATACCGATTTTGTGCAATTCTTTGACTCGTTATTTTGACTTGCGAAGCGCCGATTTTTGCACCAAAAATCGCCGCTAGACAAAGTCAAAATAACAAGACAAACAATTGCACAAACTCGGTATCCATGTATACATCAACTTATTTTCACTTTAAAAAAAAAATCCCCGAATTGCACAAAAATGGCATTGCTCACTCCTTTGACTTTATCCATGTACACATCATCTATTTTCACTTAAAAAAAGATCCCAGAATTGCACAAACTTGCATTGTGCACTCCCTTGACTTTGTCCATGTACACATTGATATATTTTCACTTAAAAAGTTAAAGCAGCACCAAATTCAACAATATAGGCAAACAAAAAATATATAATCTCAATAAAATAATACATTTTAAACCAAATGATAAAATAACATAAAAAAGGAAAAACATGTTATACATTTAAGCACTACCAAAAGCAAATATTCACTTAGTATGATTTTCGAGTTCGCTTCGTACACCCAGAGCCCCATAAAAATCAAAATATCTATCATACTTGTATGACTTTTTTCAAACCAGGTACTCTTTCTGATCGAACGCTTCACATAGTGACCATCTGAACCTTTCCTCTTACAAACCCATTCAAATCCATCTAAACGGTTTTTACGTTCTACTAAACGCATATGCTTCCTACATACTGGACACTTATAATGGCTACTAAGTAAACCTTCATTTACACACCAGTCAATTAAAGCTCTTTTCCCTTTTGCTCCAAATCGTACAGAAACTTCAAATTAATCTTGCTACATCCGGCCTTCTACCGTCTAAAGAATCAAACCAACACACACCACAAAAACGCTTACAAAACATCCCATGATTCAAAATTTCCCAGAATCATGCACCCGATTATGTCACAATAGGGTTTCCATAACATTCAACTACTCAGGCTACCACAAATGACAACAACTTGACGATAAATCAAACAACAACTTCGCCATAATACAAGGGGTACCTTAAAGTCTACTCTACCCGAATCTATATGTTTGTGAGTCGTACTGTGGAAAGAAAGAAGCACCTACAGACGTCAACTTTTGAATACACATAGAAATGCACTTCATCTCAAAGCCCAAATTTCAGACTTTTTATTTTTATTTATGTTTTGTTTTTCCATTAGCAAACTCAGCAACTTATGGACAATGTGTTGTCCCTGCTTGAAATGAAACACTTTTATGTTCCACTATCAATGTGTTGTCATTCAGCAAAGCATAAGACATTTATCTTATAAAATTAATCAAACTCAGATATATATATATAAGCAATGCCTTGCTACTGCCCCAAATAAATACTTTTATCTTTCATGTAAACTATTTAATTTGTTCTTGAAAGTTCATTCAATACTGATCAACAAACTAAGATTTTAAAGGAATTCATGCATTTTCTATTTGATTTAAATAAGATTGCATTTAATTCATGATACATCTAATTAACCATTTTCATGAACATCTGCAGTGTTATTTATTTATTTAATTTATAAAAAAACACTTCTAAACCCATATAGTATGTAATTCATATAAAATATTTTTTTAATTTAATTTGTTTTTCAAATTTAATTCATTACTAATTTTAAAACAATATATGCATTTTTAATATTTTTTAATAATGTATCAACTTGATTTCAATAAAAATGCATTAATTCATGATATATCTAATTAATAATTTCTACACACACCTACAGTTTTTATTTAATTTATAAAAGGCTCTTGGAATGCCATACGGTATGTAATATGAAATCTCCCCCTTTTTTTGGCCTTTTTCATTTTTTTAAAGACAAATCCTTTTTTGGTGTATCATATTGCAATCTGAAAATTTGAAGACTTTAAATGTGATCGTCTTGCATAGCTGAAGGTCATGAAAATAATCTGCATCTGAATTCTTCATTATTATGTTTAATTTGCCCATAATATATAGCAGTACTATCGTTAAGCTACTTTCTTGATCTCTTTCGATGGTCTCTGAGAAACATTCCTCGGGTTCCGTTGTACAAGTGGATACAGAAAAAAAAAAGGAATTTTACTACAGCAGTAATATATATAACTGCTATAGAGCACTACTGTGTCTCCTATCATCGAATTCCTCAATTAAAAAAAGAAGAAGAAAATTATATTTGAGCTTAAATGCAACTCAAAAAAACAGACTAACATGCTAAAAATTTACAGTAGATAAGCTCTGAAGGAAAGAAGTAAGCTGATCTATACTTGATTCTCATTACTTCATTGCTAAACTGTACAAGTTTTTATGCATCGAAAAATAAAATGTTCTAAAACATTTTTCTTCTTTCCATTCATTTTTAGAGCATAAATAATATAGTAAAGGCATCATACAATGACCTGTAATATACATAAAACTTGAACAAAAAGATAAAACTTACCATAATGTGGTTCAAAAGTCTCTGGTGGACCAGCAAAAAAATCTTCCAATTTAAAATCATTTGCACATTTTAAGGTAAAACCAAACCCTTTGCATTCCCACTTTCTTCGCCATAAAATGTACTCTGAAAAGCCTCCAGGTCCAGCACAAATATCAGCAAAATAAAGCAGCTCATTTCCAACAACTAAAGACTTCTGAAAATATGATTGAAAAAAAAAATTGTGCACATTTGAAACAAACTAAGAATTTTTTAGTTGAAAAAAAAATTATAAACAAAAAATTATGCATTCCATTTTTGTTTAAATTCTTTATAAGAAGTATTCTATAAAACTTTGAAAAAGTTTTAAATGAAAAAGTTTCAAAGTTTTAAAAATAAACTTTGAAAAACTTTGAAAAAGTTTTAAATATAGTATATTTTCTCTTAACTACTCTCAGTTCAACTGGCCTTCTGTTAAACTGCATGTTTAGCTCAAGAAATGACTCATACAGCATTTCTCGAGTTGAATGTCTCTAGCACCATCTAGTACTTTTTGTTGTAGTAGTATCTTATAGTTTGGATATTATTATTTTTAATGTATCTTCTAGTTTGGATATTGTTATTATTTCGCATATGCTTGTTCATACTTAGATTATAACTCATGGTGGAAAAAAGAGTTTGCTGGCGAAAGGAATTAAAAACTAAAAAGCAGTATGGTAACAATGGAACAAAAATTACAAGGGCTGGATGGAAATTAGTGGCAAAATGTCAATGGTTTTGAAAAATATACTATCATAGTGGCAACATGTCAATGATTCTGAAAAGAATATTATCCATAGGTACAAACACTTATAATCCCTCAATATTACAGCTTGCTATGTTTACTTCTTCCAAATTACTTCAAAGCATCATACACCATAAGCATATTCATTTCTACTGATGCTCCACAACAAGATATAGCCACATGAGCACCTACTCAGCCAGTAATGGTTGACTATGATTTCATTTTAAAAAATTCTGAATGCTACCATAGAGCAAAAAAAACCAACTTAATTTCTAAACTCAATTCAGTGGTGCAACAAGCTCTACTGGGCCACGGACTTTTTCTGCTTTCTTGACCTTGGGGCTCCAGAGTACATTAACATATGCCCTGTGCAAATGGTTAGCTTGTCGCAGGCTCACTAATTATATTACTTATTTTATCAACCCACTAAAGGGATGAAAGGCTGAGTCAACCTTGCCCAGCCCAGATATCGAACCCCAGACCTGTGGTGCAACTGCACTAGCCACTTCGCCACCAGGCGGTCAACTTAATTTCTATGTGAAGCAATATACCGTATTTACGCGAATGTAATGCGCATCGTTTTTGGCCAAATGTAATATTCAAAATTGGGGTGCACATTAGATTCGATGGCGCATTAGATTCGAGTGCAAAGTTCGCCGATAACGTCAACCAAATTTAAATTGTAACAATGGATTACTGTATTTGTCGACTAGATTTACCGTTACATTTATCGTTGACACATTATTGCATAGAGGATACAAACTGCAGAGTACGTAGTCACGAAAGGGAGGGCAAACAGAGGAGAATGTTATATGACGCTACTTTCAAACGTAAAGTAATTCTTTATGCTGAAAAAATGGCAATAGAAAGGCAGGGGAGAGTTCAACGTAACTGAGAGCAGTGTTCGCTTGTGGCGGCAACAGAAATTGGCACTGTTTGCAACTAAAGCTAGTAGAAAGAAATTCACTGGCCCTCGCAACGGAAGACACCCTAAAGTTGAAGAAAAAGTTTTCAAATTTGTACGTGAAAGGAAGAAAAATGAACAACCTGTGACTAGTGACACCATAAGAAATAAAGCAAAAAGAGGAGGCTGAAGTACTTGGAATACCGAAACAAGAGTTTAAGGCTAGCCGTGGATGGGTGGATCGGTTTATGAAGCGGATGGGCTTATCTCTAAGACGCCGTACAACAATATGCCAAAAGCTTCCTGCATATTTTGAGGGAAAACTACTAACATTTCAGCAGTATGTCATCACACTTCGGAAGGAAAAGAATTTTTCAATGGGAGCAAATTGGCAACGCTGGCGAGACGCCTAATTTGGTTTGATATGCCTCGTAACTACAACCATTACGGAGGAAGGGACTAAGGAAGTTATCATTAAAACTTGGGGATGTGTAAAAACAACGCGTAACAGTGATGCTGGCAATAACAGCAGACGGGTGCAAACTTCCCCCTTTCTTAATCTTCAAACGGAAAACAAGCCTTAAAACCCCTAAGAATGAAAAGCTGTTCCCAGATGATGTCCTGATTCGAAACCAAGAGAAGGGGTGGATGACGAAATCATTAATGCTTGATTGGCTCCGAAATGTATGGGAACGCCGTCCCGGTAGGCTCTTCAATCCACCATCAATGCTTTGTCTGGACGCATTTCGTGGTTATCTCACCGACGACGTAAAAAGAACACGTGCAGCCTAGGCAGTGATCTTGTAATCATTCCTGGAGGGATGACGTCTGTGTTATACAACCACTGGACGTTTGTATAAATAAACCTTTTAAGAGGTACGTTCAGGCGGAGTACGAAAAATCGTTTTGTGAGCCAAATCGTGAATTGACCTCGATAGGAAAAATTAAGCGTACTGCACCGCACATTGTTGCACACTGGGTTTCTGCTGCCTGGAAAAGCATCGAAGATCCAATGATTGCGAAATCTTTCAGAAATGCTGCATTTCAAATTCATTGAATGGCAGTGAAGATGACGTGCTCTAGAACGTCGAGGATGACAATGATGACGATGAGGAAGGAAGAAATGAATCTGCTTCTGACGAAGAGAGCTGCGAGGATTCCAGTGATGAAAACATTAGTGAATAAAGCCGATTACTATTAATCACAGTTTGTAGAAACTGTTAGCTATAGAAATGTTACGATTTATTTCATGTTCATATTTTACGATAGATACCGTATATACGGTAGTGGTAATGAACAATGATTATTTCACATAACAATAGCCCACTAATAGGTTAATTCTATGTTGTGCTACTTTATGTATAAATCCATTGTTGTATAAAATATGGTATCTAAATTTAAATAAAATTATCATACCATTGATTGATAGTTTATATACAAATCCATATTTGTATAAAATAAGATTCAATAAATTCCTCATAGCATTGATGCGCATTACATTCGCCGACAAACATTTTTTTATTATTTAAAGTTTTAAAATGGGGATGCGCATTAGATTCGCATAAATACGGTATATGTATATTTTATTTATCGAAAATTAATTTATGTTTCACTACATCATTTCACACAGTCAGCAACCACTTATCTCTAACATTTAAAAGGATAACTGCTAACTTTAGCTTGCTCTTCAAAAAACACAGGGTAAGTTCTGGGAATTGTTACATTTATATTTTCTTTGTCAACAACTGAAAGTTTAGTATGTTAATAATATTAGATTAGAACTTTAAGTATGCATATTATTGGATGTTATAGCTGAGAAACTGCTAAAAAGAACAGAATAGTTCACAAAATGTGAAGAAATTTGATAAACTGTCCAGTTATTCAATAAATTATTCCTAACTTCTTTACCAGTTGAGTCTTCAGAGGAATTATCTGACTCCAAAACTGCATGTATATTTTTGCGTAATGTATTTTATAGTGTAGCATGTAGGCCAGTCCCACAGGGAAAAAAATGCAACCAACCAAAGCTTGTCATGTTTTTATTACCTAAAAGAGGTGCTGAGGAACACAATAGTTTTTCCAGCATGTGAAGAGAAGTCTACTTATGTATGAAATAGTGTTTTAAAGCATATCACAATTAAAATTTGTTCTTGTGATATTTTAGCTTCCTTTCTTATGTTTTGGAAATCTTATACAAAAAATAAATCCTTTTTGTGATGCTTTCATCTTATTAAAAAACTTTTAGTACACTCATTAACTCATGGAAAGTACTGGCAAAGTGTTCTGCAAAAACGAGATAACTCGAGATATGTGTCAACCAGTAGACTTCCAATCACAAGTAATCTTGTGGTTGGCAATGATGACATTAAGTAAATTCCTACTTTTCTGTGCATCTTCCATTGTCTTTTAATATTAATTTTGAAATTATGTGAATAGTTCCTTTTAAATTAATTTTAATTTATTTTAAATTCATTTGTCCTAAATTTTCAGATTCCATTTACACTTTATAGCTTGTTTGCTTCCATTGCTCACAAGGAACAAGCAATAATTGGAAACAAACAGGGGTAGATACTTGAAATTTGCACTTAAAAAGACATTTCTAATGCTATCTCATTTAAGAGGATGAAAAATTAAGTTAATTGGTGAAAGCACAATTTTTGGTTTTTGGTCTTTTCTTCTAAAGCCATGCCATCCTAGTGCTTCTTTTGTTTTCACATACTTCCTCAGCAGTAAGTGTTGCCAGTTCTACTTTATTTTTTCCCAACGATAACTGTTTTCACAATCATTGCTTGTGCTACCATATTTTTCATCTAATCAAAGTTAGGATGCAATAAACTCTAAAGGAGTACTGCCCATCAACATTTAGACTCTTACTGAATTCATGCAGCACTGCAAGCATTCCAAAGGACAAACGTTCACTGCTGCAAATGCCATTTTTAATTTTAAGACTGTGCAGTCTTATATGACTTTTTAAAAGGAATATTTTACAATTATTATTATTTATTTATTTTAACTCTGCCTATTTTAGTTATTTAAGATGCAATAAAAATATATATTTCTCAATTTCTTTATATTTCATGACTCACTTCTTTAAAGAGGATTGATTCTGAGGGATGAAATGAACAAAAATCAAGGGAAACAAAATTACCAACAGAAATTACAGGGCAAAAACTTGAAAAAAAGTTTAGGGGTATCTATTATTTAGCCAAAGGTTTAGGGAGAAAGAAAGAAGCTAAACTGCACCAATATGGTGTCAAAATGCACAGTATGGCTTTAAAGGAAATGTACCATTTTTTTTCTTTTTGATTTTTGCTGTACATTAAATGCAAGAAAAAGCAATTACCTTTGCATTTATGCAAAATTTATACATTTGAAAATATAAATGATGAAAATACATGTATTAATTCATCGTGCAAATGACTGCATACAATAAAGACATACAATTATAAATAAGCAATTGCCCACAAGTGATATTCAAGTCTTAGCAATTAAATATGCAAATGTGTTCCATGATTGAAACAAGAATTAAAAGCAGTGTATTCCCATTTCAACTTTTATTATCAAATTAAGGACCATAAAACTGAGCTTAATTTTCTCCAAGTTAAGAAATAAATAACAAATATAAATAAATATATTTGCTGACAAGCAAATAAATTAATAAAATATAAAAAGTTACTCACCCCATTTTTATCCTTTGGATTACTAAACATAAAATCAAATGCAGCATCCATATTTGCCATCTTCATCGCAGCTCTTTAAAAAAAAAAAAAGTAAACAAATTATGGCATATCATGAAAAATTTATACATGCTTATTTATTAAATGCATTCATGCAAATAATTTAAAACTGATTCTCAACATTGATGCTTATGGTGTCTCTTGAAGTTAATAAAGAATAATACAAATAATATTTCAACTTTAAATATGAATAATTATGAACTATATGATGAATAAATTTACAAATACACATCATTCACATTCAATTAACACTAGACAACATCTATAGTTTATTCAACTGCACTTAAAAAAGGGGGGAAGAACAACAACTTACATTATCAATTATCATGATTGCAATTAATGTTATCATTCAGATTATAATCAAACAGGCAAAGCCTGTCTCTTTGTATTCAAACACATGGGAAATGCATTTCTTACTTAGATCAACAATCCAATTAATGCTATCAAAGTATCATAGAATAATTTTCAGTGAAGTAAAGTCACCAACTAAGGTCAAAATAGATTAAAAAAATTGCAAAGTGTCAGAAAAATGCCACCAAGTAAAGAATTATGCAACCAAATAGCTTGTTTTTTTATTATAAGTCAACCAATTAAAATTAAGCAAAAAAAAAAAAAAAAAAAAAAAAAAAGGCAACTTAAATTTAATGTAGACTTTGAATAACTGTAGAGATTTCGAGGATGATCAGACAAAGTTTCTCTTCTTCAAGACCCTTCATTTTTGCAAATCCCCCCTCACAAATCCTTACAAAAACATTTTTGGTATAAACAGCTAAACCAAACTTAGTTTCCTTTTTTGCCATTTTTAAAATTTACATTCGCATGTTCTTTTCCAGTGAATGAGGGATGTCCTCTATTAAGATTATTGGTGCAAAATTGGTCAAATAATTATCGGAAATGCTATGAGCAGTTCATAAAGGAATAATTGCAAAGATATTACGAACAGTTCATAAACAAATTTTGATATTCTTCCTAATAAAAGTTCTGTGAAAGTACTCATTTTTAATGTTTCTTGTTGCATTTATATTAAATTAGTTTCTTTCCTAATGCTATCTTTTCTCATCATTTAAAGTTATCACCATTCAGTTAATGTCATCAAAATAGTTGTGGGCAAAAGTGATCACATTAAGCAGTGACTACTGCATTAATAATTTATCTACAATTTTAAGCAGTTTAATCCAGAGAATCATTCGGTTATGCAAATTAAAGCAGCACACACAAACTACAAAACAATGCTTTTGTTTAATTGAATTCAGTAGGAAATAGAAGAAAAATACTTGTACACTTATTTTTGCTATTTAGCAATTTATTAATGGATAACATATGTTTAATTATGTTAGAATGTTTATATATATATATATATATATATATTAAACACAATTAAATTAGGTACTGTTGTGGTTAAACACAATTCCTAAATCCAATGACATCAGTCCTTGTCTATGCATTTTCTTTTCTATGCATTTCCTTTTGTATTCCCAGTCGAAATTTTACTCTAAAATGGTCTGCAATGGCAGGTTTTTTTTTTTTTAATTATACATTAAACAAACGTAATTCCTTTCTAGACAAGGTTCGATTAATTCCCTCCTAATTAATTGGGAGTGTATGAGTGTATGCATATTTAAATTTACAAAAAAAAAAAAAAAAAAAAAAAAAAAAAAAAAGAAGAAGAAGAAGAAGAAGAAACTATACAAGTATCTTGAACACTTTTTCAAATTCAGCATAATAAAGCTTCCCAGTGCAGGCATCAGCAACCATTTTTGGCTGTGAATCAAAATCAACCAAAATGTCAGCATTAAGAAGATCTTTGGTTCAGCGGTATTTTTATTTTAGAATAGGGCAAATGGTGGAACAGAGCTTTCTTGGTGAATAATTAGATAAATTTTATTGAGAAAATAATTATAATCCACTTTAAGCATAAAAATTATAATTATTATAAAAACAAACATAATTGAATGAACTTTAAATCTTCTCATTATCCATGGCTTCCCCGATGATGAACTTCTGATGTCAATTTAGTCAAGACTGTTTTATGGTCAGTTATCTTAAAACGAATAACTGAATTTTAGTTAAATAAGCTGCTCCTGATCTACTTAAACTAAATTTAATGTGTAAAGATATTTGCTTCCATTTATTTATAAGTGAAGGCGGAAAAACGATCAATGCTCTTTTCTTTTTTTTTTTTTTTTTTTTTTTTTTTTTTTGTCTATGGATCGGTGCTGCCAAACTTATCGGTTTTTCTTGGAAATTCTTACAAATTTCATTTTTTAAAAATAAATTTATTTTATTTATCTTTTACCTTTATTTTATCTTTCTTTGATTCTATCTATTTCTATCTTTTTATCTCTGACAAAGGAAGCAGTGTCAGTGCAAAGATGTCCACCCCCATTGTTGATGGCACTGCACTACAGCAATGATTTATGAAACAATTTTTAGTAGTCAATTTAAATTCATCGCAAGTGATTCTACGAAGTTTAAAACTGGTGTCACTCTGTAGAGAGAAGCCCAATCTATCAACATGAAAAGTCATGCTCATTCTTATCTAAGATAAAAATGGCAGTAATTATGAAACATTAGATTGAAACGGATGTAACAGTAACCAGTTTTCCTCGTGTAAACTGGCTCCAGAATCACCTTTGCATTCCACTGTGTTTACACAATGGCTTTCCAGAGTGAAAGCATTTCAAATCTGTTGAAACCAAAAGTATCTAGTAAAGGAAAAATCAGTAGTACCCAACGCTTCGGATCAATCACAGTGCACTTCTAATTATTCTCAAGGCTGTTTTAGTGACTATATGCTTAACAGGAAAATTAAATCTAAAACCGATAATAAAAACTTAATAACCCTGGTTGGAACCTGGAAGTAAAGTTACTAGATAAATTTTTATTTATAACTGTATGTTGTCACTCAGCTCTCTTTTTCAGTAAACTGCCTCTTATCAAAATTTTTAAATGAAGTTGCACATTTAATTTTGTATTCTTTAAAAATTGAATTCAAACTTAAAAAGTAATAACTTGAAACTGAAATTTTAAACCCATTTATAAATATAAAGCATCAGAAAAGGAATTACGTGCACAGAATCACATAAAAATACTGAAAGAATTATTATTAATAAGAAATCCACACATTAAATTGCTAGCTAATGACCTGCATTTTGTCAGCCATATTCTTAAAATATATAATTTGTGTGGAGGGGGGAAGTTGTAATAGTTAAAAAAAATGTAGAGTAGATAGAAAGACATTTCTTTGAACCTGAAAAAGATAAAAATTTGAATCTTTTTCATTGACCTAAAGTCAAAATAAAAAATAAATAATTATTGGTATTATTGTTACAGATAGAATTATTATTAATTATTATTATAAATTAAATAATTATTATAAATTATATATTAATTATTATAAATTAATTATTACTAAAACAATATTATTGTTAGTAGTATTGAAAACAGCATCACAGATAAATATTGGTACCTGTCTTCTGTAGTGGCCTTGGTGGCAGAAAATGGTGCTAGCGCAGTTTGGGCTTAAGAAAGTGCAAGTTGTTGCAAAATGAATTTGATTACAGTAAACAATAAATCAGCAATTCTTTGATTATCTACACAACACAAATTATTACATATATATATATACATATATACACAAATTTATATAAAATTCCTTCTATACAGAAAAAATATACAAGAGGTCATAAAACAACTTCCAAGATACAGGAACACCTAGAGGCCTATCCACTCAACCAATTGAAATGAAATTTCATATATTATTTAAAGGTATGCACTCAAGATAGTGACGATTTAAAACAATTGAGCTCTCACAGTTACAGTGAAAATATTTTGAAATTTTCAAATAGCAATACCTATTTTTTTCCTGTGCAAATTGATCAGCACATTGAAAAATCATAAATGGCGTTGGAACAAAACAGGTATGACGAAAACTGCTGAGACAAAATGACAAGTTTTTGATGTGCCCATCTTTATAGATGATAAGTCATTGCATGGGGAAGATAGTTAACAACAATGAAATATGTAACATAGCCGGAGGCATCTTACATTTCTAACAAATCTCATGGATTTGATGTGTACATCTTAGATTTCAGATAACCCCAGAACCAGAAATCCATCAGAGTGAGTTTCGGGGATCACGGTGGCCATGAAACTGCAAAGTTACAGAAGGTGATGCTATCTCCAAATTGCTGTTGCGGCACTTGCCGAACACACGTGGAGTGGGTAGGCCAAGATGGATTCATATATCAGCAAGTTTCTCAGACCTCCTTGTTTGCATATTAAGGAATTTAACATAAGTTTGTGCTTATTATATTACTTAACACAATTTTGTCAGCATTTTATTTAAAATAATAACATAATTCAACAAAACTTATTTATCCTATTTAATACAATTATGCAAGCTATTTTGTTAAAATAACAACATAGTAAACATGCAAGAAAACACTATTTATTACTTTGCTTAGCACAATTCTGTTGGCAAATAATTACAAAATAATTATATAAATGAAACAAAAAATAATTTTTTTACAGACCTTTTTCTGGTGGCCATAATTCAGCAACTGCTGCTAATAATGCCTCAAACATCAACTAAGTTTCTTTTTCCATTAAATACCAAGCATAATGAATATTTTTCAATAAAAAACACTATGCAATTAAAATTAATTACAACAATTAATGCAATGTACTTACCAAAAACCACTTAGTTAATTAACTGTTTGTTCCTCGCACATACGAAGATCGGTAACTATTTGTTTTTTCCACATGTACAGACTAGTAACTGTTTGCTTCTCACCATGACCATTACAAAGCACAGGTAACTTAATATTTTTTATTATCACATCAAAATAATTAAAATATGAATAATTAGGAGACAATTTATACAGAGCGGCATCCCTTGCAATTTATATGGAGTAGCATACCCTTTCAGCAGCTGTTGGTCGGTTTTGAATGATATATCCATAAATAAATCCTTATTTATCCTAGTATTCGCCTTTGTGTTTTACCAGACTTCAATTTACAAATTTCAGGTAATGGTAAATTTATACAATACCAACTGAATATACAAACAGCCTTCCCCAAAACTCCTGATAATGCACAAGCAAGAAATTATAAATTTCATGTGACACTATCAAAACCTTACCTGTTTAAAAATATGCAACCACGTATAGTTTCAAATGGATTAGATCGTGTTCTTGCTTTCCTCATTTCTTCAGGTTCTAGTTTATCAAATACACTCTAGAGAAAAAAAAGAGGAGATACATCAAATTTAAGATAAAAATATGAAAACAAAACATAAATTTACAGACACTGCACAAAAGAGGGAACACAATTTTTAGTTTTGAACAATCCAGCCATTTAGTTATTTAAATTGGAATAACTTATACTTTAATCGATATTTTTGGTGATTTTCCAGGAGATATTACAAGATAAAAATTAATGATATATATTGAGGTACCACTGTATAATGATCAAATTTGATACAAAACAAATTTACTGAATTGTGCTGCTGGAAAAAAGCACAATAACATAAGTTAGTTTAATTTTGTATGCTTTTTGGTTGCTTCCTATGTCTTTAAATAAAATACAATCATAAAAAAATTTTAAATTTAATGTTTCTACAAATATAATTATTAATTTCTATAATCTTCTCCCCAAAATAATATCTGTTACACATACGTATGATAAATGAAAAAAATACATTTAAATTTGAATGTTTAAAATCTTACTATATAGGAATATTATATATTAATATGATATAGGAATACTTACTTTGTAGGAAATAATATCTCTCAAAATTTCAGGATAACAAAATTCAGTTTCACTGCTGATGTCAATTTTTTTCTAAAAATAAATAATAATACAGTAACTTGAGTAATTGTAATATCAATCAAGCAGTTATGAAATACTCACATTTATTTAAATTATAATTAGTTTTGATAGTTTGACTACATAAAATATATGAGATTAACAGCATGGAGAGAAAAATAACCAAAGCTCATATCTAATAAAATATGACTAATTCGAAAAGAACAGATTTTAAAAATAACACAAAAATTTTATTAAAGGAAACACCCATTTAGTATGTGTTAATTATTTCACATATAATGGATTTTTATGGGAAACAGTAGTTAATATAGCATAAATGACAAAACTGTTAAATAAATAACATCATGATTAAAATATTTTTTAATAATCACACTTTTTCTAAGTAATCCTCTTTTAGTGAAACTAAAAAAGTATAGATTTAAAATACTACAAGAGTAAAAGCTACAGCCACGTGGTACCTATTCAACCTTCATAAAATTTGCTTCATTTCATACAACTATTTAATTTATAAAATGATATTTTGTAACTTATACATGGAAAAAACTTCAATTCTTATGTACAGTTCATACACATTTTTGCACATGGAAATTAAGTACTTTTAAGGACCATTAATGGAAAAATTAAGGATCTATCAGCTAATGGGAACTGAATGTCTGAACTTCACTTTTGTAATACCATCCTTAGAATAAATTATATCGGTGAGTAGGATGCATTATTAGTAAACATAATTTAATAAAAATAATTATAAAATAAATTTAAGAACAAAATCAATTTTATAAAATTTATCAAGGTAGCATTAAATATTTTACACTTATAATAGTTGGATATATTTGAAAGAAGATTAGTGACATTTTATTTATGTTTTACTAACAGTTAGCTTAATGTTAATTTTTTTTTCTTTTATGCCATTTTGTTATGTACTTGCTCAGTCTAGAGGTTTAGTAAATAGCAGGTAAATTTTATGTCAAACGGCATAGGTTAAAATGAGAAGTAAAATCATAATCAGCATGATTTGTAATAGAAGACTGGCTGTTGCCACCGCTGCTGCTTGCCTAGAGAGTGACCTAATGATCAGAACAAACCTGAAAGTATGATGGAGGCACGGTTGGCAAGTGTTAAAAGTTAGTTGTGCTCTGCCTGTCAACAATTTAGCATTGTAGCTTTATGTAGAGTTTCTGAGATTGTAACCTAGTTAATATACTTTATATTAACTAGCTTTTTTTAAAAGTTCCACTCATTCACTAAAGCATCAGCGGTGATAAGTTTTTTTTTTTTTTTTTTTTGTATTATTTTAAGTCTCACTAGAAACAAAGAATAAGTTTTACATTAATTTTTGCATTTTTATGCTGTACCTTGTGACCACGGTAAGGATTAATGAAAGGCAATAACTCGCTTTAATATGCAGAGATAACTTTTAAAGGTGAGGAGTTATAGTTACAAATAATTAAATTACTCAGTTATACAGTCATTATAGATTTGCATGGCCACTATTAAATTTCATTTATTTTTTTTAAATATTTGTTAAAAAAGCACTATTAAAATCACAATCTAATAGCATTTCACAGTTTAAAATACATGTAATTTATGACATTGATTTTTAAACAATATTAGGATAATTTCACATTAAAAGCTACAAAATATTTATGTTTTGTATCAACAACACTCAACAAGTTATTTATGTATCTTTTTAACTTGAAGCTTTGCCACACATTTTGGTTAATTTATATCAATTTCCTTCTCTTTAAGCATCTTTTCTAGCAATTAAAAATTTACTTCAATATGCAAAACCAGCGTTCCCACTAGTTTCTACCCGCTTTATCTATTAACTTATCAAACTCACAACAAAATACCTGTGAGGTTTTACTTGATCTGCTAAAAGTTATGAGTCCAAAACCCCTGGCAGATGTGAAACAAAGTATTGCTATGTCTAAAAGTAATTACAAAGTCAGATAAAGGTTTAAATAAGCCTCTTATTTAAAAATAACTTAGAACAGAAAAGCACATTTTTATGCTAGAAAAATCAACTGCAGCTTGAGGTGATGTAATTAAACATGAAAAGTCAAGTTCAAACTAAATCTATAGATTAGTAGTCAAAGACTACACAATTTAATATTAACTGGCTCAGTAACTCTATTATCGTAACAAATTTAGGTATTTTTACAATAGGCAATCTACCTTACTTAACTATGTAGTTACTTTACAGATCAATAGGTGGCACCAGTAGATTTTTTTTTTTTTTTTTTTTTTTACACATTTTTTCTTCAGCCATTTTATTCAAACTTGCATGATCAGATAATAATGAAATAATCATTCAAGACTGATTCATTATTATTTAGTATTAATAAATTTTTACATTTTGCAAACTATTTATTTCTTTTGCTATGTTTTATGCTCTGTCTAAGGAAACTTTCAATGTGCAAATAAAAGGGTGAAATACTTTTTTTAAAATTAGATTAGCTGGTTTAAAACTTCAATGAATTATTCGATATTACTATAACTAAAACTGAACTCCTAAATGTTATGGAGGCAGATTATATCCCAAATTTTGTACTGTGAATGAATCAGATAAGAGGTTAGACAAAATACACCTGGCATTGTACTTCTATATTTAGTTGTTTCAAAACTTATTTACAAGCAATTTATTGTAAGCAGAATATTAAAAAAGAGAGATAATGAATTTAAGAGAGATAAATTATATACTGTTGCCGCTTAAGATAACAGATATTTCAGTTGCTTCTTATTCCAACGTTTTGTAATGTAAACATAAAATTTATTTCAGAGTAAAATGATAACAAAGGTTTGAAGACAGCATTTTAAAAACTCTTTACTAATTCAATGGAAAAATTGCATGTGAAAGAAACAATAAACATAAACATTTCTTTTAAAAACAAAATAGTCTGAAAAGAGATGGCGCCATCTAGTTAAACCTAAAGTTATGTTAGTAACTGATTAACTTACTAACAAAATTCAATAGATCGCCTAGTTGGCACAATATCTAAACTCAAATGTCAGCAGTGATAATGACAAATAATTACAAATTATCAGAGCTGGCAAGAACTAATGCAGTGTTCAAGCACAGGCCAGAAACACACTCTGTCTTACAATCCGAAAACCTCAGTTTAAAAGCTATCTAAATGATTTGCATTCAGGTAAGGAATCAGGAAGAGGAAGTTATAGTAGAGGATGAAATTATACAAAACTGGTTAATATACATAATAATAGCTGTGAATATCTTTGAAGAATAATTTTCTTTCTCTTTATCACTTTCTTTCTTCAATATGTTTCTGGATTTAATTAAAGATTTCTGTAATTCTAAAAACTACAGGTATTTATAATGTAAAGAAAAAGCTGCTAATTTTATTTCTTCAGTAACAGAACATTCAAAATAAATACGAAATGATATATATTAGCAGTCAGTTACAGAGCTGGTGTGGTAGAATTTTTAGAATTTAATACAGGCAGTGGGAGCACAATATAGGATTCACAGAGATTGTGCATCAGGTGGAAAAATGCCTGTGTATGATGCATTGAGATATATGATGAATCTTTTAAATTGTCAGTTTCAACTTCTTTATTAATAAATTCCTTTGTATAAATGCCTGTCCATGTGATAAGATTAGAAACATTTTTGATATTTTCCATACTTCTGTCTAGTGAAAAGTATAGAAAATAAAAGGAAGATAAACATGCTAAGAAAAAGACTTCTAATTATCAGAAGTAAAACATTCAAATATTGTTTTCATAGTTCTTCAAAAAAATTTTGAAAAAGTAAGAAATTCATCACAAATTTTCTGTAAAACATATCTATTATGTGTTAATACCATGAAGACATTTTTTATTTTGTCACATTTTTCTTCAAATCCTTCTAAACTTCTCAAGTTGCAATGTCTAAAATCCTAAAGTAAAATTACCCCTACTAATTCTGTAACAGCAAAAAACCAGAAATATTTTGAAAGAAAAAAAAATCAGAGCAAAAAATGTAAAATTAATTTTATAGAGAAAAACTGATGCATATTCGGAGACAATTATACGGAGAAAACACTTACCATGAAAAAACTAAAAAGAAGGCATTTTTAATTAATTAAATAGCTATTTTGCTTTTGCTAAGAATTGTTTTGTAAATTGTGCTTTATAACATGTATTACCTTGTTTATTTTTCAGGTTCAAAATACTGTAAAGTAAGTCACCAAAGTAATGCTTCTTTATAATATGACAACGAAAAATAAAAATGTTTTATTTCAGTGCTATTTCTTAAATATAATTTCAATATTATATTTAATGAATATTAAATATTAATGAAATGAAATTTAATGAATTATTTTAGTGAAATTTATCAGTAATTTAATCAATGTTATATTATTTTTTAAAAAAATCATCAAGAACTTCCCAGATCTCTGAATTAAAAATTTTCTATAGGAACTGATTTTAAAATCGCCATAATGTTAATAAGTCACGAAATTTAGAACCGTTTAATAAAAGAATTCACATCTCCAAAAGCAAAAAATTGTTTAAGACCTCTTCATTAGAAAAAAATGAAGCATTTTTGAAATGCTTATGTTTCACTTCTTACCCAGAAACTTGAGTATCCCATTGTTTATACTAGAAATAGGAACAAACTAAAACCCATTAACACATTCAAAAGATAACCATATTTGTCAGTGAGTTGCCAAAAATATTCTTGTGAAATGCTAACTCTCACTCAAAATAGCAGTAATAAAAACAAACAGAAATATCAGATGATTAAAATTAAGAACCTTCTGTGCATTTTGGCTGAAATTAAGGACTTTTAAGGTCCAATATTGATTCAAAAAAACCTAAGGATGTTTAAGACTCTCAAGAACTCTTAAGAACAGTACAAACCTGTTATATGAGTTTTCATTGATATTTTATACTTGTAAAAATGTCAGTTCCAATTTTTCAGTTTTTAAATCCAGTAATAAAATGGGCGTCAAGGATTATTAAAAACTGTAAATTGCACCTCTTTTAATAAAAATGAATTGAAATGAAAAATTAAAGCACAAACAAAATTATACAAATATGTAATTTTATCATCCTTACTGGGCCTTCCAACATCCAATTTCTCATTTGGCTAATATTCAAAGGTTCTGCATCACATTCAGGCATCCATACTATTTCTTCTTCAAGAGATATCTGCAAAAAAAATAAGCACAGCATATATCATATAATCACAGTATACTTCAAGCTTAACATTTAAATACTCAACTAAGTCTAAATGTAATATGCATAATGCATTCTGTACTAATGCTGCATATACACTCAGGAACAATCAAAATAGTGCCATAAAAAGGAAGAAAGGTACTATTGCAAAACTTTGTCAATAAGTACAGTAATATGCAAATGATCCAAATTTGGTGCCAATGCATATGAGCACACACCCTGCAGAGGCACTGCTATCAGGAAGTGGACCCTGTATAAACTGGCACATAGATGAAGTCATAAACATGGTGTGGTCCCAAGCCAGAGTAATATGGAATGCCATAGATTGGTTGGAAAACGTGGTGTTTACAGAAGAATCCTGATTCATTTTGGGGACAGATGATAACCACCATATGAGTGTGGAGGCACCCTGGTGAATGGTACAACCTAACAACAGCTCCATGCTGTCGCACATCATACTGGCCACACAACAGGCTTAATAGTCTGGGAGGCCATAGCCTATGATAGCCGCTTCACTCTAATCGTGGTAGGTGGAAACTTAACAAGCCAGCGTTATGTTGATGACATTCTTCGAGCCCACGTCAGACCTTTCCTGCACGGTCTTTTAGGTGCAATTTTCCAGCATGATAATGTTCCTCTGCATACAGGCTCAAGTTGCTCTAGACTTCCTACATCATGTTCAGACTCTTCCATGAATGGCCAGCTTCCTGGACTTGTCCCCTCCATGTGCAGGAAGAGCTGAAATGCAAGATACCGCCGTATCACTGTGTCCATGATTTAGAGGTGGTTGTTCAATATTCGTGATCCCATCTGCCTAAGAATACAAACATCCAATCAATTCAGTACTGGACTGTGTTGTGCCATGTATTGCAGCAGAATTCAAAGTGTTGTTGAAATTGCACTATATTTCTCAAATTGTACACACTGTATTTGTTATCAAGTTAATCTCTCATCTGTATTATTATGTGTATTGAATTTCATTTCAATCTAATGCTTCTTTCCTGGTGCACTATTTTTAATTTTCTTGAATGTATCATATGCTACAATAAATAAAAGTCAAGTATACTGCCTTAGGAGGGTTTTCTGGGAAAGGAAAGGTACTTAGAAACACTCTTTTGTAAACAACTTGAAGCACAATGAAAGGAGCACCAATCTCACAAGGAATTTATAATACATATATACATGAAAAGAAGTCATGATAAAGGATTTGCTTTTATCTTCATAGAAAACTCAGGCCATGCAGTACTTGAAAAAGCTTCTTCAATAAGTTAAGGACTTCAATATTCAGGAAAAAAAGCACAGTCCCAAACTATTGAAATCACTTTCCTAATTACATGTACTGGCCTTCATACTCCTTAGGCCTGTATTAAAGATAAGGTTTGTAATGAGGTTCCAGAATTTACTATGACCTCAAAACAGCCATTATTAATGCATCTGCTAAACCCCATACAGATATTTCACCAAAAGTCATCATTAACTATATCATGCAGCTTCATCACATCATCATTTTCAGACAAAATCATTTTAAAAAGGTCACCAATTGACTGCCTTCCGTTTCAAGTAGAACACCTGGGAGGTTGTAACCTATCTTTTATCTTCTTTTTAAATTGTTTGTCACTTTTAATTGTTATCATATATGTGAGAACTGTAACTGTAACTACGATTATGTAAGAGCGCCATCTAGATTAGGGTGTGGTCAGATGAGATGAGATGTGAACGATAGTGAGGACAGACGTGTCTAAAATGTTTTGACGATTATTCTTTTTACTTTTCTTTTCATTCTAATGTAAATAAATAAATCTTAGTTTAACTTCATGAGTTGTAGTTATGCTTATCATCAATCCTTCCCCATATATTGGTGTCAGAAGTTTTGATTCCATGCTCATAGTTGGATTGTGCCATTTGGATTACTAACGTTCACCCAAACGGATTACAGGTGAGCAATTATCATTCATCAATTTCATTTTGACAGTATAATTGTTTCAAGTAATAAACATGTCTTTAGAAGAAAATTTTGAAAAGTTAAAATGAAAGCGTAGTATTGAAAGAAGCAGTACTACGAAACTAATTTCAAAAATTGAAGTTGCTTTAGCAGATGAAAATGTTACATGTGATATCTTAGACGAACATCTAGATGTTTTAATAGAGAAAATGGATAAACTAAAGTGCTTAGATAGTCAAATTGAACATTTCATTGATGTAAACTTAATTGAGGAAGAAGTAAACACTAGTACTGATTACCAAGAAAAATGTCTTAGGTATACTAACAAACTTAAACGTTTATTGAAACAGAAAGAGAGTTTTACTAACTCATCGACATCTGAAAAACTGTTAAGTGTTCCGATGATAGTTTAAATTTACCCTCTTCAGTTAAACTTCCTAAGTTAACAATCAAACCGTATTCAAGAGATCCGAAATTTTGGAATGAATTCTGGAATTCGTTCGAAACCACTATCGATCAAAATGATTCACTTTCGAAAATTGAAAAGTTTGCCTATTTAAAAACATATTTGACTGGAGGAGCTTTAAGTGTAGTATCTGATTTTCAATTAACTGATAAAATTATGACAATTGTGTAAAGTTACTTAAAGATCATTTTGATTGAAAAGATATTATAATTGATTCTTTTATGAGTAAACTTTTAAACTTACAAAGTGTTAAAAACTCTTCAAATGTTCCAGCTTTGAGAAAGTTATATGATGAGCTCGATATAGCTACACGAAATTTAGATTCACTGCAAGAGGATTCAAAGTCCTATGGTCCACTTTTGATTTCAATTGTTCTAAATTTATTGCCTAGGAAAATCTTGTTTTAGATTTTAAGCGAAACACATATTCAAAATGCGATGTAACAATTTCTGATCTTCTTTCTTTTTTAAAGTGCGAAATTCAATCACGTGAATCTACATTTTTAGCTTTACGTGATAGAAAAGGTTTCTCAGCAAATTCCACTAATTACCGGTCATCTAAATGTTATAATTGTAATGGATTTGGTCATTTATCTAAGTTTTGTCCCGACAAACATCGCGGACCCAAATGTTTATCTTGTGGAAATTTCGGTCATAAATCCTTTACCTGTGTTAAGAAAACTCCGAAGCAAATTGACAAAAACAACAGTCCAATATCTGAAAAAATGAATGCTGTCACATCAATCAACTTTCATGCGCCGAGCCTACTCCATAAAGTAATCAAAATTAATGATATATCACTCATCACTATCATTGATACCCGAAGCGAAGCAACGGTTCTCTGTCTAACGGGAATTCCACTTTAAGTGTGTTTCATAATATGCTCACTGGCTTTGGTAATGACAAAATTAAACCAACTGGTTATTTTATTTTACAGCTGACATTTTAATAGATACGGAATTATTTACAACTGGTGTTTATGTTGTAGACAGTAATGTAATGCCATTTGACGCTATAATTGGCATGGACATTCTTAAACAAGGTGAAGTTAACATAAACAAAGATGGTGTTCATATTTCTAAACATGTTGTTAAACAAAATGATCCGGAAGATGTGTACATCAATAATATTTCCCTTAATCAAACATTTGAACTAGAAATAGGTCCTACTGCTACAAAAGAACAAGTTAAAGTTATTGAAAATCTTGTCTCCAATTACAGACCTCTCAAAACCAAAACTACGAACATTGAGATGACTATTCAAGTAAAAGATAAAACACCTATTTTTCATAGACCTCGACGACTGCCTTTTGTCGAAAGAGACATTGTAGACAAGCAAATTCAAGTTTGGCTAGCCGACGGCATAATTGAACCTTGTTCTTCCGAATATTCTAGTCAAGTTGTAGTAGTAAGCAATAAAAAAACGGCAACTCTAGAGTTTGTATTGACTATCGGAAATTAAACAAGAAAATAGTTAAAGATCGGTATCCCTTACCCTTAATAGAAGACTTATTGGATAAACTACAGGATGCTCGTACATTCACTACAATCGATTTAAAAAATGGTTTCTTCCATGTTAGTGTCGACAAAATCAGCCGACATTACACTTCATTTGTCACACATAATGGACAATATCAGTTTCTACGTGTACCTTTCGGTCTCTATACTTCTCCTTCTGTATTTCGAAGATTTGTAAATTCTGTTTTCAAGGATTTAATCTTGCAAGGTCATGTTTTATTGTATCTAGATGATATAATTCCTGCTAAAAGTGAAGATGAAGGGATTCAGCGTTTGAAATCTGTTTTCTCAGTTGCATCTGCTTATGGACTCGAAATTAATTTTAACAAATTTAAATTTTTAAGCTGTAGAATTGAATTCCTTGGTCATGTCATCGAAAATGGTCAACTATTTCCTATCTCCTCTTAAAACAGCCACTGTTATTAACTATCCTGAACCTAAAAGTCACAAAGACTTTCAAAGTTTCCTTGTTCTTGCCGGATATTTCCGTAAATTTGTTCTCAATTTTTCCATAATTGCTCAACCATTAACTGATCTCCTTAAAAAAGGTAACGACTTCCACTTTGGTGATAACGAAAGAAAAGCTTTCAATCTTTTGAAACAACGTTTATGTGAAAAACCCGTACTCAACATCTATAATCAACACAGCGATACCGAAATACACGCTGATGCCAGTATCCATGGTTATGGTTGTATTCTCATGCAAAGGTCTATGATTGATAATTGCCTACATCCTGTTTATTACATGAGTAAAAAGACATCTGCCACGGAAAAGAAATTCACCAGTTACGAACTTGAGATATTGGCTGTAATTCAAGCTTTGAAAAAATTTAGAGTTTATCTTTTAGGAAAACACTTCAAAATTATTACTGACTGTAATGCTTTCAAAATTACGATGAACGAGAAAGACTTAAATACATGAATAGCACGTTGGGCATTGATGTTAGAAGATTTCGACTACGAAATAGAACACAGAACTGGAACACGAATGCCACATGTTGATGCGTTAAGCAGATCTCCTGTTATGGTCATCACTCAGGATAGCCTCATTTTAAAAATACGAAACGCTCAAGAGCAAGATGATCACATCCGAGCTATCAAAGAAGTCTTAAAAGTTAAACCTTATGATGACTATTGTGTTAAAGCTGATATACTTTATAATTTTCTAGACGGTAAAGAATTACTTGTTATTCCAGAATCAATGCAGAGTGACATAATTAAGGACGCACATCTTTGTGGACATTTCACTTCTAAACGAACAGAAGAACTCATCAAAGAAGAATTTTATATTCCTAAACTTAAAGATAAAATTGACAACTATATTGCTAATTGTGTTCCTTGCATACTAATTAATCGTAAATGTGGTAAACAAGAAGGTATGTTGCATTCCATACCTAAACAAGATGTACCACTTCACACATATCACACTGATCATTTAGGACCACTCCAGAGTACTCATAAAAATTACAAGTATATATTCGCTGTTATTGACTCAAAGTTTGTATGGCTTTACCCGACAAAATCTACTGATAGCACCGAAGTAATATCTAAATTAGAAAATCAAAAATTTGTCTTTGGAAATCCTTCACGTATAATTTCAGATAAAGAATCAGCATTTACTTCAAAAGATTTTCAAGATTATTGTTCAACCAACAATATACAGCACATTCTAATTACTACAGGACTTCCTCGTGCCAATGGACAAATTGAAAGATTGAATTCTGTCATAATTTCTGTTCTTTCCAAATTATCGATTCAAAATCTGTCAAAATGGTATATACACGTCAGTGAAGTTCATCAAGTGATCCATTCAACATACCAACGGAGTATCAATACAACCCCATTTGAACTCATGTTTGGAACTAAAATGAAATCTGCTAATCATGATAAAATTACAGAGCTGTTAAATGCAGAGATCCAGTCAGATTTCGTCAACACTCATGAGGATCTTCGCAAGGAAGCTAAACAGAAGATTCTGAAAGTCCAGGCTGAAAATCGTAAAACTTACAATCTGCGACGTAAACCATCCCGTAAGTTTTTATTTTTCTAGGTGCTGTTATTAGAAGATCCAGATAGAATATTATTTTTATTTATCTCTTTAATTTAGTATTTCCATTTATCTGTATTAATTTAGTATTTTCATTTATAGTTTAATAGTATTAGTATTTTTTCTTTATTTTATATGTTAAATTTCACTGTTTGCTCTTGCCATCTGAGGGCAGATGACTATGTCGGATGGCCGAATTATGTGGAAACTGTAACTGTACCTATGATTATGTAACAGTGCCATCTAGATTAGGGTGTGGTCAGATGAGATGAGACGTGAACGATAGTGAGGACAGACGTGTCCAAAATGTTTTGATGATTATTCTTTTTACTTTTCTTTTCATTCTAATGTAAATAAATAAATCTTAGTTTAACTTCATGAGTTATTATGCTTATCATCAATCCTTCCCCATATATATTTGATTTAATAGTAACTGCTTCTGATGAAGAAGGCTCCATTCTTGTTAAAATGGATACAATCACATTTTAAATTAATGTGAATAAATGATGGATATACACAGTTTGTAGACATTTGCACAGAACTGTTTTTAATTTTTCTACAAAACAGGTCAACTTTTAAGTCAGAATTTCTAAAATAATTAAAAGCTGAACAAATAGTTTATTAAAATAAATAAAAAGCTTTCTGTCTCAGAGATTCTTTTATTTACTGTTCATTACCTTTCTTGTAAACCTTGCAGGATTTCTTGCATTTTAACATAGTAAATTATTTATAAAGGATATACATAACATATATATCCCTAATAGTATTAATATTAACAATAACTACTTCAGATGAAGAAGACTCCATTCTTGTATTAATAGAAGAATAAATAACATTAAGGTAGCACATAACAAATAACATTAATGTAGCAAATAACATTAAGCTCTGTTAAATAATAGCTCATTAACCTTGACCAAAGCATTAAAATTCAGAATACAATTTAAGATGTGCTAAAGGCTTTAAAAAGGGGGTGGAGGAAAGGATTTTCTGAAACTGGGGGAGGGGGGAGAGAAATTCAAAAATCTATAAATTTATGATACATGGGAAAAGAATACAACAGAGCTTTAAAAAAGGCAGAGTTAAGAATAGAAAACAGTTCGGTAATTTTATTCCTTTCATGAAGCAACGACATAGTACTAAATGAATACAATTCAAACTAATGAGAAAATTAATTAAATTAATATAAAATTACAGCAGTTAGGGGGGAAAATCAGAAAACTATGGAAGAAGAAAAAACTGAACACATTTCTCTGATTCCTAACTGCAGTATGTAACTGCTTTCAATGTTTCTATTGTAAATAATGATTATATATAAAAAAAAAAAATTCGAGACTAGTAGCCCCCTCTAGGTTAACACCCTTTTGGGATAAAAATGCATTAAAATATTTAAAATTTTGGCAACTTTCAAAATCAAAATACATCACATAATTCCTATTAATTAAAACCTTAAAAAATTCATATAATAATAGCTTACCTCCTCTTTTGCAGAATCCCATTTAACATCAGATGGCTCCAGACCTTCTATGTGAAGTCCAAGACCTCGACGACCCCGCTGTTTAGAAGCCTCGACAATACTGACTCGACCTTGTTCAAATTTACCTAAACCAGTGCCAGTCTTGTATCCCATTTTTTCCTTTAAAAAAATATATTTTCAAGTTAAAGCAAACAAAATCAGTCTCGAACAAAACAACAGCTGGTATTATTAATTACCTTAATTATAATCAAGATAACACTGTTTAAGAGTGTATAATTAATATACAATAAATTTTATTTTTAATGGCAGGTCTTTCATCAAAAAACTTTTCTCTGCAAAAATTTTGAAATTTTTCTCTTTTTTAAGTTTTACGGTAACTGTGGCCACCTTCACTGTTAAATTGAAATTAAAATTTGCAGCGCTCAAAATAAAAAAGAATAATCTCAAGAAGTTTAAGATTCAAAATAATTACTGTATTTACTCGAAAATAAGACTCCTTAACATTTTAAGATAAATTTTAAGAAATAAAAATGCAGGCGAATAATTGAAGAAAGCATGGTTCTGATTAAATTTCACTTAATTCTTATTAGAAAGAAAGAAAGCTACTTAATTAAATATAATATTTTACTATGGTATAAAAAGAGAAACTAGGAAAATTTAATGATGCATTATTACCTATTTGTTTTCAGTATTAAACAGTACAGTGAATGCAGGTCTACACAAAAATCATTCAATTAGCAGTTGCTATTATAATTAGTGGTAGTCAATTTATATATACAAAAATTATCTGTATGGTTTATTTCATATTTTGAAATATTTTTTGAATTGATGGTTAACTTCATTTAATCGTAAAGATTTTACTTCTTGAGTTGACAGCAGCAGAAATTAATTAAGAACAGAAGTCAATTATTTGAAGGGTTGTTCTCACTTTTAATTTTTTATTTCTTCAAAACATCTTGCATATTTTTAACGGTCAACTTTTCTTTCAGGTTTCGACGACACTGAAGTTTTCTCTGATACAAGACTTTAATAATTTAAGATATTTTAATAATTAAACTAATAATAATAATAACTAATATTTGTAAATAATTGACTATTACAACACTAGTTAAATTATTAGCTACTTTGGGGGAGTTAGGGACTACATGTAGAAGTAAATAGTAATATCCGTGCTATTTAGTAAATTTTACAATTTTTAATCAGAATTTACACTAAACATAATTCAGTACTTGCATATTAACGCAATCACAGCAGAAGTGCTGATATGTCAATAACGAGTAATCATGTTGTTTGCACGCAGTTATCTTTTGGATTCTTTTTGCCTTGTTGTTTGCTGATTTTTTATGCTATTTTTTAGTGCTACGAAAATGCGTCTTTGGAATTTGCCAAACACAGAAGATGCAATTTTATGTTTTCAAGAGCGAAATATTTAACCAAAAAAAAATTTAAATGTACCAATTCGCATGATATGAAACTTTATTTTGGTAAACGTACATTTTGGAAATGTAATTTAAGACAGTGCGATCAGGAAGTGGGACTTAGAAAAGACGACTGGTTTGAAGAAAGGAGAATTCCATTTTGTTCAGCTCTGAGATTCATATACTGCTGGTGTGAGGAGTTGATGTCAATTACATTTTGTGAAAAGCAACTTGATTTATCGAATAAAACTGTTATAGATTGGAACAATTACACGCGTGAATTATGTGTCTTCGATATGGAGAATAAGACAAACAAGAAAGTAGGTGGACCAGATTGCATTGTGGAACTGATGAAAGTTTGTTTACTAAGCGTAAAAATAATTGTGGTTGAGTATACCCGATTCGAACTGCATAGTTTAAATAAAAGGTGCATTATTTATTTTTTTAAATAGTTTTCTTTATCATATTTTTCCATAGTTAGTATTTTAGGTAATTTTTTAATTTTTAGACTTTTATTTTAATTGTTTGTGTTGCATTGTCTCTACAGATAACTGTTTTAAAATTTTCTATTTATTCATTCGAACTGATTATTTTAAATATATTTATTAATATAAATTTTCCAGGATTTGATCTTATTTATTTCAATTGTGTTTCTTTCGGAAGAGTACTTTGTGTCCCAGACTACGATGCATCTGAAAACTGAATATATTAAAAGAGAAAATACAGTAAAGAACAGTTAACACGCCTTTCGATGTTCCGTTCAGAAAAGATTTATAAATGAGAAAGATGTATAACCGACATTTTAACTTAGGATGACTTGCATATATTGCTTTAAATAGCTTTAACATTGTGCTCATTGTTTTGCACAATTTTATCATCCAACATTTAGTTTCTTAAAATGTTATTCCTAATTTAGACAAATATTTTATTTTTGAAATCGCAAGAATCAAATATTATAAGATTAAAAAGTTTTAAATTTTTAAAAAAATACTAAATTTTATGCAATTTTTTTTTTTTTTTCCTTTTTAATTGCTTGCTTTTTTTCTTCAGGCATTCTGCAAGTATATTCAAAAGCATCCAACTTTAACATCTTTGGGTATTTCTGACATTCATTTTAAATAAAGTTATTGTCTTCCCTTTCGAAAGGGCCCACAAACGAGCGAGCGGTAAAATCACTGAACCCTGGTAATTCGCTCTGGGGTTCGAATCCTGGCAAACAGGCTGGTTGCATGGCTGTTTTCGTGGTTTTTCTCATGTGTAAAATGTACGCCAGCTGGTTTCACTTAGAAAGCTTTTCACAAAGGCTTTATTTTTTTTACTGTTAGAAAGATAGCCCTACTTTGCCGTAACGTAATAATCCAAATCAATCCATTCATCAGTATTTGGTCAGGGCCTTTACCAGTCTTTAGAGGCTAGGCATTTTGAAAGCATGAAATGAAAGGAAAAACTGGTTTCATCAAGAGGGAAATGTCCTTAGATGATATCCATATACGTTTTAGAGACATACGATTTTTTGGAAGCAGGAGACGCAAAGCCCTCGCCGGGAATTGAACCACAAACCTGTCGAAAACACACCGAGTGTGCAGACCACTACACCACGAAAGCATGCTAAGAAGGTGGGAGTAATACCTTATAATGTCACTCGATAAATTCCTGAATCTTCAAATAATTCGACAGAGAAATCATGGGATGTTCCATTTATAATACAATATGATGATCTATGACGTAATTTAAATTTATACAACCATTCAGCTGAAAACCAGTCGCTCTTCAATTTAATCTGCAATGATATGGTTTATGTCTTTTCTGTTAGTACTAACTCATTTGCTGCCATTTGCTGGTGTGCACGTCCAAGTGTTTTCTCTTTAAACATCCAACTTTCTTGAAGTAGATTCCCCGTTAAATTTTTGCTTTTCCCCCTAATTTCCTTCTTTACTTCTACATTTGTTTTCAGTGCTGACACAAGAAAATTAAGACTTTTCGACTGTTACATTTCCAAATATTTTGCATTCTTGTCAATATTTTTAAAATATCAGTTGCATCAAATGCGTTTCAGCTGAAGACAGCTTTTCATTTTCTACACATTTTAACTAAAATAAAGTTTAAAGCAAAGTCCAAAGGATAAATATTTGAATTAAAAGATTTTTGTTAAATGAGAAAGAAATAAACCACTCCAGCTGCACTTATCCTGTACCACAGAGTGATCCGATTCTTATATCGGGAGCAAACAATCTAAATCATATTATTTAGATTTTTAAGCCTAATAATTTCCATATTAACGAAGATGATTTTATATGATCTACAACACAAGAGGAAATTACTACTTAAAACATTTCTTCTAAGAGGATTATTGTAAAAATTTATATCTATATATATATTTTTCAAAGCTGGGACATGACCCAAACTGTCAACTTTCTGTTTGCTTAAAAACATTGTGAAAATAAACATCAAACGAACTTTCTCAGTTTTAGACAATTCAATTTAAATGAAGTTAAAGTAAAGTAGCAGACGATAACACGGCGAAGGTAATTAATTATAAATATTTTTAAAAAAAGAAGAAAGAAAGAAATTTAAAAAAAAGTTTTATATTAAAAAAAGTTAAAAATATTTGAATAATATCATCATAATTTTAAAAAAATAGCTGTTCATATAGTATTAAAAATATTTATTAACATCATTGATTGGAAAAATTTCTTATAACTAATTCTCCATAAAAATTTATTTGAAATTTAAGGCTAAAAATAGCTGTGGCAATTCACTGTAACAAAATTCATAAACTATATTTGGCATTATTATCACTCAAAAAAAAAAAAGATGCCAAATTTCAAAACACGAAAATAAGTATATTAGTGTATACACAAAAATAAGTATATTAGTGTCAAGTTCATTAAACTTTTAATATTTTCTTTCATCAAATTTAAGTTTTATTTAACTTCCTAAAGGAATTTTTGAGAAATTTCTGGGAATTTTCAGAGATTTTTAAGGACTTCATTTCAAAAAAATTTTGGGAAATTTATTTAAAACTTTAATATTAAAACATTTCAGTTTTTCTTAATTACTGTAAGTTTTTGCAATTTTCACACAAAATATCTTTCACTTAATTTTTTAACAATTTTCACATTTTTCAACAGAACACACATTTCAAATTACAAACAGTTTACATTTTTTTCACATACCACTTCACTTTAATTTCCTTCAAGCAAACTTACATCTCTTGATTGGCTCAGTTACTTAACTCCCTAAATAATTGATATTACTACCTTTAGAATTTTTATTTAATTTAATTTTTAATATTAATGTTTACAAAAAATTTTACTATAACAAAGATAACAGCTTGAATCAACTTTACCACATAAGCACCATCTATATAATTTGAAGAACGCACTTACTTCTCTTTCACAAACACTTTGCAGGACCCCAACACTCATATATAGTAGGTAAGTTAGAATTAAACTTACTATTTACTTGCTTTAAGTATTTTTTTTTTTTTTTTTTTAATTTTTTATGTAGTATCTAAGTATTTTCTAAATATGAAATTATATTTTTAATATATATTGTTTTTTAAAATTGTGAATTAGTTCTTTTTGTTTCTTATGGTTATATGGATTATGTATAGTTCTTTTATAGTTCTTTTTATTGATATGCATATTCGTGTAGGGGAAGTTTCTGTAGACAAGGATTTCTAAAAACATGGTTTCTAGATTTTTTTTATTATTTTATAAAAAATTAATTTTTAAAAAATTAATTTTTTAAGAAAAGTTTAATTCCTTGACTTTACTTGCTTGTACTCAAAAGACTTCATTAGTATTTCCTTTTTGAACTTAATTCTTAAATGTTAATACTTAAATGTTAATTTCTAAGGGTACCACTTTATTGGAATTACTTTTGGTTTTGACTTTTACCCTTGCTTGCATGAATGACGAAACACGAATTGAATGATTGGAGAGTTAGGTTTGGAGGCAACTTCCCCTTGATAAGTCTGTCTCCTGCCTACTCTACGGTCATTCACATATGCATTTTTTAAAAAAATTGTTTAATTTAATTTTAATTTATTAAATTAGTAGATTTATTTTCATGGATAGATTTTGCACTTGATTTACTTATGCTTCTGAATTTAAATGATATTGTAGATTAGTTCGAGAATTAAATCTTTTACATGTTTTCACATTTTTTTTAATTATTTTAAATTATTTTGGCTTTTTCCTTTTTTTAGAATTTAAATTTGTTTTTACTTTTACACATATTTTTTAAGAATTTAAATTTGTTAAATTTATATTAGTGTATACTTATTTATATTTTATTCGTGAAAAAACTAATTTTTTGCAGGTATGCTTAGAAATACACTTACTTTAAGATGATGGTAAAAATTTTATAGGATATAATTCAAAATTTTTTTCGAATATTTATTATAAATTTACAATATCAAAATTATAATTTTTATTTCGAAAATTTATAATATTTTAAAACAGAAATTTTAAAAATAAAACACAAAAAATGGGTGAATTTAATTTGGAATTAACCTAAATTTCGAAATGTGAAAGGAAAAATAAAAAAAGTTTAATAAAAAAAGACATTAATAAATATATGCCAAATTCAATTAACATTAAGGAGATAAAATTTTGAGAGCTAATACTTTAAAAATTACTCATGCGAATTTTACAAAACTTGGCAGCCTGACATAATTTGAGTCGTAGAATCGAAATATGTAAAAAAATTGGTGTTATTTCAGAAAAAGTTCAATTTTGTGTCAAAATACTTATGTTAGAATAGTGCTATATATAAATCTAATATATATCCTAAGTCGTGCTTTCGAGACATGAAGAACGCTTTCGTCAATTGGCCCAGTAGAACGAGAGATATAGAACCGTCCTCCCCCTTTTTTTGTGTGCAGTGTACATACATGTGCTGAGACTTTGGGATGTTTCCAGCTCTAAATTTTTACTACCAATTAACATGAGACAGTATTAATGCCCTAAACATTTTTTAAAAAACTTACTATAATAATTGCTTTTAAATTCAGTCCTCTCCAGTAGAAAGCACAGGAATTAATTAATTAAATAGTTCCATTTTCTTTACCAAATGTGTGTATATATATAAAAAGAGAAAAAGCTTATTTTTATAACTTCTTCTATAAAAAGAGACATGAATTAAAAAATTTTAAATTAAAAATAATATTCCATGGATTATGCATAAATATAACTGCGCATAGTAAAAATTTCCAATAACATGGAATTTAAATATCTTAAGAGTACAAATCCTGTAAGTTAAATACAGAGACATCTGGTGACAATAAATGCAATCGACCACCAAACTTCCGTACGCATAAATCCAACGCAATAATGTAAACGATCTTCCGTCTGCATATGCGTTTCTCCCAATGACGCTACGCATTTGCAACGCACTAATGGGAATGGGGCTTAACTCTTATGATGAGCTCTATTATGTAAGCATAGTTAAAGCCCCGACAAAACAGATAGTAAGCTGTTGTGTCCAAGTGCTCCATCTCAGCTAGTTAATGGGAAAAAAATAACATTTCGTAAATTTTATTTTAAGGCAAGTTGATTGACTTTTTTAAATGATTTCACCAACTTCTTTTCTATATGTATTAAGTCCTACAATGTCGCTTTAAATTTTTTGTTAATCGCAATAAATTTTTATTAATAACAAAATGTCCAACACCATTCAATAATGCAAGTTGTAACAAAATGTCGGGGTAAGCTGCTGTAAAAGCTTGATTCATGTATTAACATAAAAATTACTTTATTCTATCTAGTTTTCTTTTCCGAAATAGAAAAACACATTTTTCATTCTCAAATATTAAACGTCTCCTTAAGGTTTCACCTCGGAAACAGTCTAATAGAGGCTGCCGCAAAAGGGAATCTTCCTTTTTAATTGATACACAGAAAGAGAAATATTGGAAAAAGAATATGAAGAGATAATTAATAAGAAATGAAAAAAGAAAAGTACATAAACAAAAGAGAAAGTTTAAAGAAAAAATTCAAAAAGAAAATAAAAAGATCAAACGGGGGGGGGGGAGATGATTTTGAACTCAGAAACAAATTCTGAAACAGAAAAATGGTTGTACTTAACTTGCAGAGATGCCTACAAGGAGTCTCATGAAGAAGAATGAATGCCATGCTTAATTTGCAAAATGTAGACACTGATTAAATATATGTGAGGAAATAATCTATCATTTGTGCTAACAGCAGTTCTGATGAAGACTGTCATGCTGATTAATTAAATGATTTCTATCTTTATTTTACTATAAGTCACTCAATATCATTCACTTTCACTATGCCAAGTAATTATAGTCACTAAACTTTTTTTAATATTGCAGTTTTTATTGTTACTATTTGCCAAACATTTTTATTGTTACTATCTACAATTAACCCCAAATCCTGGGCAAATTGTAAGAGACAAATAGTTTTGATAAAATATTTCTTGTGCTAAAATAGCAAATTGCTTACTATTTGTTTTATGCATATAATATATTAATATTTATGCTATAAAAAAGCAATTATGATCAAGGAACTATAAATACATTTAAAAATTTAAACATTTTCTTAAAAAGTTGTTACAACTAGCCCTTAGCTTCCCTACTTTAGAGGCCTACCAGCGGCAGACCAGTAAAGTCGCCGAACAGTGTTAGTTTGGTCCGAGGTTTGAATCCCGTGAACGAGCTGAGCGCATGGGCATTTTCATGGTTTTCCCTATGTGTAACATGTATACGAGCCAGCTTCCCTTAGAAAGTCCTCCATGAAGGCATCTCTTCCTTTAAGCAGATAGCCCTAGTGTGCTTTGCCGTAATCTCAATAAACCAACACCTAAAGAAGAACTGTTGAAAATGCAGAAAACAGAAGGTGGTTCGTACATTATGGAAATGGTTTTGATGATCAATTTTTATGCATAAAAGACTTATTTCTGGTGCCAATTTAATTCTATCAGATAGCTTTGATTCTTGACTACAGCTCTAGCTTGAACATTCCAAGAAAGTAAAGTTTTTCTTACCACTGTTATGTCAATTTTATCTTATGCCTCTTGGGTCATTTTCCAAAGTCTGTTCACTGTCCTTTGATTTCGTTTTCCTGAAGTTCATTGTAATAAATCAAAAGCACAAAAGTCCACAGGAGAAGTATCAGGTGTTTTTACAGGTATTTCACTAAACAGGCTACATTTTATTAATGCTCCTGGTTATTTCTTTGCTAAATAAGTGATAGTTGACTTAGACATACAGCTAGAAGCTTCCTTCATATGAAGCTCAACTTTACTGATTTAAAATCAATAAGGCTGGAATTTCCTTGAAAACTGCTTCTAAAATATTCTGCTGATAGTACAGTGAATTAACTTTAGTCTTACCTGAATTTTTTTTAGTTTTAATTTACCACAGTAACAAAATCTTGCAACTATTATAAATCTTGCTGAGAAATTTTCAGCACTTTAACAAAGCCATTTCATAAAGCCACACAGTCACTTAGATATACCCATGTCTCATCATGCGCTACCACAAATTTCCATTTATCAGCAGCTAGGTGTTTTCCATATAATTTTCTACTATTTGTCCCCACCCCCAATATATTCTTTGGCTTAAGGTGGATGAACTTTAGGTTTAAACATGTTTTTTAATTTCAAATCTTTATGAATGATTTTACTTACAGTGTCACAACCCATGCTCAGTTCTGATACGGTGAATTTTTGAGTCAGAGGATTTTCCTTCAGGGTCAGAGATTTCAATTTCTTGATATTTATCCACTTTTAATACTTTCAAGATGCTGTTTTGTGACCACATTTTCATTTTGACATTCAGCTAGATGCTTTTTTTCCCTTCAAATTTAATACATTGAAAATACCTTTCTTCGAAATTGAATAACCTCAATTTTTATACCACTTTGCAATTTGTTGATATGATTATCCCCCCCCCGAATATTACATAACTTTTGAGTCATTTATTAATTTTAGATGTTATTTCCAAAATAAATCTGTTATTCTACATTACAATCAAAACAAAACAGTTGCAGATCATTATACTGAAAATGCCAGATCATTATCTCAGAATGCTAACCAAAAAATTCAAGTAAAAAATAGTTTTGATAAAGTGTGAATGACCTTCTATTAAAACTCCAACATAGGAAAAACTATTTGTTGTTAAAATTCTTGGCAATAATATACAGAAATAAAAACATACAGAAATTAAATTTAATATAATTGTTTAACATACCATCATTTTCATACCAACACCATAGCTTCCATTAAATGTTTCTATACTTGGCATATTAGCCCTACTTTCCCCAGTTTTGACAAAAGAGTTTTTGTCATCACTTTCACTATCAGAAAGATCTAAATCGGAGATCAATAAAATTATATGAGATAAAGCAAATGCTTTTCATATTTGAAGACACACGAGAAAAATAATTGAAAAAACACAAGACGAATTTTTATAATTGAAGAAACATGAGATTTTATGAGAACACATAAAAAAACTTTTAATTCATGTAATAACAAATAATTAAGGAACTGTAGACAAAATTATTCTAAACCATTCATAAAATAGGAATTATGAATAAAATTTTAAAGAAATGGACATTTATAACTAATAATGTGAAATAATTATTCATTAATAAACAGTATATGAATAATCCATCATATTTTTTTCAATTACAAAACACTACTGATTATAAAATGCACCTCTCAATTTCAATACCACTAAGGAGTTGGATAGATTGGGGGAGGGATTTTGATATTGGAAAAATTAAATTAGCAAAATAAAATGTAAGAAATATGTCTAAGAAATATATTTATTCAAACAAAATTAAATTTATTTGCAATTACAGTACCTATATAATAATAGGTATATTATATATAAAGGTATTTGGTACATATATATAAAGGCAGTCACTGTAATAAAAGTCTCCAAATCTACTATAGAATGTGCCAAAATCTACCGACTATGCACAGAACAATTATTCAGTTTTAATAAAAATTAAAAAAAAGTCGATATTTTTGTATGCATTCTTTTTATTATATTCCAAGTTCCTGTGGTTGTTAAAGATAAACCATGACAGTTTTCTTCTTAAAATTCAATTTTAAAATACACACATATGAATAAAATCTATTTTAAATGTATCAGTTTTTCTTGCAATGGAAAACGGCAGAAATATTTCTGCAGTAATTTTCTTGCAAAAGGGAACTATTTCAAATCTATATTTTTAAAGCAACTGACATGTAACTTCCATCAGAATTAAGGAAACAAAGAGCTGTTTGTAAATAGCTTTACTAATTGATTTTTTTGGATAAATATCATTTCAAACATAAAATATGCACATAAAAGATAATTTTTTATACTTATAAATCATCATTCTTTCTCTTTTGCAAAAAATTGCTTAACTCTGACAAGATGGCTGTGTTAATATCTAAGTAGCAAATACTCAACACTTAGTTTTGAATTACTATAAGAAGCTGGTTGTGCTGATCCATCAATATCTGCATTTTAACTATCAGCCAAGTTTGCACACTCAAAATCTGATTCTCCAAGGTTGGCTTCCCTGCTCATTATCCCATCACATACCTTCAGAACCATCAAAAGCACTACCTAAAAAAGTGCACAATTATTTCCAAGATTAACTTTCATTCATTATGTCAGTCAAGTTTTCCACATTGACTGACATAATGACTACCATTATTTTCCCCGAGTTTCATACAGAAACTCGATAAACAAATTCATAACCCTTTATTCAAGTAACCCTTAATTGAAACTGCTAATTGAAATCTCAAATGATGCCAGACAGTTAATTATGACATCAGAAGTCACTATGACTTTTGTATAATTTATTTTTCAAATATTTGGGCAAATGCCCACAAAATACAACAAATGCTACTACCATGCTTAGTTAATTAAATGAAGATTTAAGAAATGTCCATTCACACAATATTCACTCATTCTTTTAATTAGAAAAGTACTTCAAATCCAAGATTCCACCAATGGATTCTATCTTTCTTGCCTCTCACAACTTACATACAGGTAAGGGAAGTAATGTTTTTGTTGCAAAATTCGAAGTGAGTTTTCAATGAATAAGAACCAATTTGGATACCTACACAACACATTTCACTATTATTACAATGATGTCTGTCTGTGTATATGTGTGGGGCAATTTTTTTCATCCAAGACAACTCTTATATCAAACTCTTAAAAATTTCTATTTTTCTGTACTTAAGCTTTTCACATTCATATAAAGAGTTCATTTGATTCAGAATAAACTGCATAATCAGAAGTGGTATTTGAAGCCCACAATAGCTTTTAATGAAAAACTGTCATTAAAAACAGAGTCCAAACATTTGAATTTCAGTATTTAGAACTTTTATATCAATGAGAACATTCTATTATATTTTGGCTAAAATTGATAAACCGGAAGTGGTTTAAAGCTCTAAACTTTTAAAGCTCTAAGCTTTATTTAAAGCTCTAAACAGATTTTTGTAAAAAAAATTTAATGTGATATAATCCAAAATTTGGTAAGCACTGGACAACAATAGCAAGCATTGTTTACTGATACCTAAGCACTGCAATGATTATATTGCATGCAGATCCAAATTAATTTAGATTGGTTGATACTATGGAAATAAAATAAGAAAGAAAATTAAATTACAGCATTTGTTCATTTGTTATTTTATATACATAATAAGCACTTGATTTTCTGTAATTAAAAAACCAATAAGCCAATTTAATTATATGTTATTCAATTGCCTTATAGAACACAATTTTTTAATAAAAAATAAAGGCACAAACATTTGATTATGTTGGTATAACTTTAGAAAAACCAGTTTTGACACATCTAATAAGGTATCATCCAAAATTTTATATTACAGATATTCCTATTTATAGAAACAACCAATTAGAATTTGTTTCCAAATAATCAATCAGAAGTGATACTTTACTTAAATTAGATTTTTAATTATTTTTAAATAGCTTTTTCCTGTTGTTAAAATAACGAATTTCAAATACTGACTTGTTTTAATGAGTACCTTTATGTTTAGTCCCCCCCCCTCCATACAAACTATGCCACAAATTTTTTTAATCATATGTTCTAAAACAATAATTTCAACTTTTTTAAAAATTAACTTTTTGTTTTAATTCCCATTAAATATGCGCTGGGGAACAATATGAAATGATATGGTGTCAATTTGGTGGAATTTGCAGCACAAACTTTCCTAGTCAACAGGATTTTAACGAAAGTGACTGTAACCTGAAATCAATGCACTCATTCCATTACACTTTATATAGCTGCAAAGAAGAGCTAAAAAATTTTATTTGCCAGAAACATTGGCTGCAGAGCAAATTCGATCTCTAGATTTGCAGGCCAAAATTACGGAAAATAAGATTATATCGCTTTGGTGAAGCTCTCGAACAGGCGGAATGAGAATGAATGTCACCTAGACATAGCACAAGCTGAAAATGGTGCTTACCTAGAAGTGCACTATTATCTATGCAAATCACAATGCAATAAACATATTGATTTTTTATGCATGTGTCTCTCCTTACATGGATTATACCTAATGCGCAGCACAAAATACGTCACAGCTAAATCAGACTGCTGAAAGATCACTCTACTACAACAATATTCTGCATTCAATTTCAAGTTTCTTTAAAATGTTCAGCATGAATGCATCCTTCCTCTTACATGACCCCTCACATGCATTGCTATAATTCAAATAATTAAGTCTGATCCACTATTTCAGTGGTTACCAACTTTTTTTGCCCCATGCACTCCTTTTACGGTTACTAAATGATCATTTACCCCTTCTTTTGCAACTTGAAAAAGACATCTATTTAAATTTAGAGATTACTTTTTAATGTGTTCTATGAATTAAACAAGAAAAAGTACAGAAAATGTTGATAAATTTCAAAATTTCAACAGAAGTATTTATATTCGTAAACTAAAATTAATACTTAACAAGTAAAGAAAAGACAGACTTCATTACCTCCTGAAAGTATGAAATCCCCCCCCAAGGGAAATTATCTTTTGGTTAAGAATTCCTGCACTATATAAATCATGTCTCAAAATAACTGCTTAATATGTTCACTGCCAACCCCGACTTATCTCGGAAGTCGAAATTTGTGTTTAGGCGCCAGCTATGAGTTAATTCATAGAACATTTTTGTTTTATCTATGCCACATAACAATCAAACTCGTAATAATTTCCTATTCTTACAAGGATACTGGCTTTGGGGGGATTAGAAAAAAACATAACAATGTGGCACAATTCAAGAGATTTATAATAGTTAATCTAATATAAGTAGTTATAAAGTAAATAACATTGGAACTGTAAAAATAATCAAGCAATTTATAATAATTTTTGTTATAATAATTGTTGTAAAAATAATCTTTGTTATAAGCAACCACCAACTGTGAATATATTCATAGTTGGCTCTGTCAGAAAATATTTTATCGCAAAAACTGACTATGATATAACTTGCATAACTAACCATGCAATTAAAAATTATCTAATGTTAATATCTTTCCCATAAATGCATGTTTTGTATTTTTTTTACAATTAATTAATTAAAATTTATTGGTGTGGTGGAACCATTTTTGAAAATGGCACTCAGCAGTGAACGTGTTAAAATTACTATTATATAAGTTTAAAACTGAAGCATTTACTCATTTATAGGTAACTGGAATAGTTCTGATACGCATGTAAAATATGTGATTTAAAACTATATTTAAATAAATCAATAAAGAAATGAACTATATATATAGATTCTTAAAAAGCTGCAAAAGTCAATTAAAATTTATGCAAAAAATTATATTACCTCTTTCGACATATTGTGAAGGATTTTTGAAATCATTTTTAAACTTTTTAACTGGTGACGCCATTTCTAAATGCTCATCCTCAGTATCATCAGTACTAAATCCTATAATACGAAAAAGAAAAGTACCTAATATACAAAAAAGCTACTATATAACATTCTAAAGTTTGACTTTCTTTGGTAGCATAAACTAGTCTCAAACTCCTAAAAGATATTAAGAAAATTATCACTATGTCTGGACACAACTACAAATTTTAAAAACAAACCTTTTCATTAAATCAGAACTTAAAATAGAAATGCATGACTTGTGCTTACAAATCAACCAATCACTTGAGACGATGTAATGTAAAGAAATAGTAACTTCAAATTTGAGCGAGTGAGTGCTCTGGGTCCAATGGATCTGCCCGATTAAAGATACCTTTCTGAAAATGGCCCAATTTTTCCCAAGTGGTTGTGGTTCAGTGTAGTCTCCTCCAAGGACATCTTCTTCATGTTCCAGAAATTTTTCACCGGAAATTTGATTCAAAGTTTTGTTTTGATCAGATCGGGTCTTTCAGACCCTATTCACATTGCTGTAACATAGTTTGTTTGTGGTAGCACAGAAAGCTGCAAAAATGTCGCCTAATTTATCCTACAAGGAAGAAATGTTACATTTGCAAAAATTAGAAGATGTATCAACAGTTGAAGACTCCATTGAAGAAACTTATGATGAAAGTTATAATTAATTTTTTAGTTCTCATGATACTCATGACAAAAATAAAGATGCATTCTGAAAATGAAAATGACAGTTATTGCTTTATTGGGAAAAAAAGGGGGGTTAAAAAATGCATAAAGCTGATGTTAGAACTCCTCATAATATTATTACTAAACTGCCTGAAAACATTGGTAAGGCAAAATATATGCAGAGTCCAAATAAATCATAGGAACGTTTACTAAGTGAACAAATGGTTGCTGAAAGTCATCAGTTTTACAGATATTTATATTGCCGCTATTTCTGACAGCTTTCAATGAGAGAGAGAGATGCTCATCACACAACTCTAATTGAAATTTGTGCTTTTTTAAGTCTTTTATATTTTTGTGATATAAGTCATCTCATGTAAATGCATCGGTGGGCAACAGATGGAACCAGCTTGGAAATTTTCCACAAAACTATGTCCTACAAACGTTTTCTTTTTTTTACCAAGATGTTTGCATTTTGTTGGCATAGGAACTTGCATTATCAAGAAAGAATCAGATAAAATTGCATCTATAAGAGAGTTTTTTGAAGATTTTGTAAATAACTGCCAGAAATATTACACTTTTGGTGAGTTCAATAACAACTGATGAAAATCTTGAAGCTTTCCGAGGAAGATGTTCTTTCAAACAATATATTCCTAATAAACCTGAATAAAATATAATGATTTCCTAATAAATTCTATATTAATATAATACACTTTTCTATTCTTTTAAAAAATTTTATTTCATAAAAAATGTTACAGAAATTAAAATTAAAATTTAATTTTTATAATTTGAATATTTCTTAAGTTTGATCATAAAATTTTGGCATAAATGTAACACTTTTACCTGAAGAGCAACAATTTTTTCTTCAATAAACACGGACCGGAAAAGAGCAGGCACACTCCTGGGTTAAAACTAAGTCTAGTAGTCAAAGGCTACACAGAGAATTTAATGTGAAGTAAGCTCAAAACCTCCTACTAGCAAAACAATTTAAATATCGGTAACTAAAATGCAATCTTATCGGAGCTAGTTTATCTAATGACATGACCTTAAGAGGCAGAAACATACTCTGAATTAAATTACTGAAACCTTCCTTTAAACAATAACTCTTTCTTCCTTATTTCTATTTCAGTAGAGAAATGGAAATGAGAAGTGACAGTAAAGATCCAAAACATAAAATAACTGGTTAGTGAAAAATAATAGCAATTACTCTACAACATTATATATATATATATATCACTTGCTCAAAAAGTATTAAACCTGTGGTAGGCAAAAATACATTTACTGATTTGGAAATCTGAAATTCCCTTAAGAGTAGTCTCCTTGGTAATAGATACACTTCTCCCAGCCCTCTTGCCATTGTTGCAAACACCTCTGAAACACTTTTTTTGGAATGGTGAGCAATCACTCTGTCACATTTCACATGATGTCTTCTCTAGAAGACATCATGTAAATCAGGTCCCTTTCAGTGAAATTTCCAGCTTGGGAAACAGCCAAAAATCGCACGGAGCCCTACAAACCATAGGAATGCTGTGTTCAATGAGGAAATCCTGAATCAAATGTGCAGAAGAGGCAGATGAGTTATCATGATCAAACTGCCAAGTTTTCACTGCCCACAGATCCAGTCGTTCGTGCCACACAGCATCATGAAGGTGACAAACGACTTCCTGGTAGTACTTCTGTGTGATGTTTTGAACTTACAGAGTATATTCATGATATACCACACCACGGGAGTGAAAGAAGATGGTCAACAGGACTTTACTGTGGAACTGCCCTGAGTTTTTTGGTCTTGGGGATGATGGATGCTGCCAGTGTGATGACTGCAACTTAGTTTCTGGATTGTACACATACACCCATGTTTCATCGCCTGTGACCACAGTGTTCAGAAAGTTGGGATCACTGTTGGCATTATCCAGCATGTCCTGTGTGATGTCTAGTCACCACTGCTTTTGCTCCATTGTTAGCAGCTCCAGTACAAATTTCATAGACATTCTTCTCATGCCCAAATCCTCGTATAAAATTGAATGTACCAATCCAATGCTTACCTTTGTCTTATTCGCATTTTCTCAGATTGTGATATGACAATCCTGCACGCCCAGAGTTCACACTTGTTCAAAGACATTGTCATTCCAGCTTGTTCAGAGCCTACTTGAATATGGTTCAATTGTGTTTCTATCTCTGAAAGGGTTGTACCAATCCTTGATGTGAGAGTTGCTCATGGCATCATCTTCGAAAGCCAGCTAAATCTTGTGAATGATTTCTGCCTAGATATCACCAAGCTTTGGGAAATTTTATGCAATATTGCTGCTCAAGATTTTGAGTCAGTTTCCAATCATTCCACAAACACTGAAATCTGACGAATGCTCACTATGTGTATTCACTCGCTGGCCGACTGCACGTAACTCACCCTTTTTGCGGGTGGTAAAAAATTCACGAATGTGCATGCATTTCCCTTCTACATCTTACACTAATCTCCTGCACTTCATTGGTTTATGGGAGAAAAAATAAAAAACAGATTTGATATATTTTACGATATGATAGAAACTACACTTCAGTTATGAGTCATATGTTGTAGTAAGATTTTGTATTTACTACAACTTTCCAGATTAGAAACTGGATAAAATTTTACTAATATTTACTACTAATGCAAAATAACACAGAACTTACATAATATTAAATAACAGATGATAATTCTTTGGTTTTTGTCAAGAAGCAGCCAAAAGAATTATCCACAGAGCTACCTTATATCCAGATGAAATTTAACACTAATCAAAGAATCATTAAATTTAGTAGTATTAAATTTATTAAATGAGACTATATTAATATAAAATTTAAAGTATTTAAAATTTTTAAGAAACTTAATTTTAAAAATAATATATGATAAAACTTGCTAACTCTGAAATCAATCATTAAGATATAACCTGCTCAAACATGACTCAAAATTAGGTAAATAATATACAAATAGACTAAAAGTTTAAATTATTTGAATAAGAGGAAAAAAAATTATTAATTTTAAATTTTAAAACTAATAACTTGGAAAATCAAAACTGCAGAATGCACGTTTGAGAAAACAAAATATCACAGAAAAGGCAAAATTTAGAGCCAGTAAAATAAAAAATTCTAAAATAAATTTTAATTTAGTTTGAGTAAAAATAGTCAACAAGCAAAGTTGCAGAATTATGGTGCCAAGCACTAGCAAAGACGATCATCTTTGAATGTCAGAGTAAATGATAAAATGCAAATTTTTCTCAAAATATCCTGTCATTTTAGAAATGGGAAAATTTTAATTTTTTTTATTTTGAAATTTCAGAATGAGACCCTCAAGAGCTTCATGTTTTAGATCAGGGAGAAAAATTGTACAACTAATTAAGGACAGATCACCTCTCATGATTTTAATGTGCTATCTTTGAAAAACAAAAGAGAGAATTGTCTAAATAAAAAGAATTAAGAGTTCTTCAAAAATCATGTTGAGGTGTTGGTCTGGTTTTTGAATGAGTTCTTTGGATGATGACTCCTTGCAAGTAATTATTTAGTTTCAAAATTTAAAATTCAAATGCTACCTGGCTCACACATACTTTATAAAAATTGGAACAGAATTTATGCTGAAGACTTTTTTTTATATAATTTTAATGCATCATAGAATCACATGTGCAGTCCCATTTGCAATAATACGACCTACAAAGCATCCAAAATATGCATCTCTTTCATATGTCACTGAAGACTTGATAAGAAAGTAAATTTTTATTATTAAATAATGAGGAACTTGTGTGTATATTCTTTGTATTGTTGGTAAAAACAATGGCATTTACAGCCATCACATTTTGAACACATAGTCCTCCACCTGAGTATATGCATCTCAAATCCCAAATTCTGAATTTCAAATTTGTTCTTTTACTGTTTTCTTATATTCTGTGTGAACTTAATAAAGTCATAGATACTAAAATTATTCTAACTTGAGCACTAAAGATTTTAGTACCATTACTAGAACCTTTAAATAACTCAAGAAATGGGAAACCTCACATACACTAACTTAGCAATAAGTTCCAATTTATCTGTGACACTGCAGTGCATTCCAGAAGTCCTGCACATTCTTTAGAAGAGAAGCAGACTAACTCGCTATAGTTTCCACTAAATGAGTCTCACAAATGTTCAGTGGAATTAAAACCTAAGAAATTAAGTGAACAAGGAAGAAATTTCCATGGCATGCCTCAAACAATTCACTAACAGCTCACAGTGCACAGTTATCTGGTTTTACCAAGAACATGATAATCACATGTGAGGTTTATAGTAACCCAGAGACAAATACTCTCCTTCTAGATGTTCTCTGTAGATTCCAATCGACTCAAGTCATGCCATAAAAAGAAGTCCACAGAACAACAATGTCCACCAGCATTCAACTTTTGATTGTATACAGAAGTCTCTTCTTAAAAGTTGCAAGCCTTATATGCCATCATACAACTGTAGGGTACAAAAACTAGACTTATCAAGTCCATGCACTGTCATTCTACAGAACTCCAGTTTCCAAAAGTCCACAGTGTAATAATACCTTCTGACATGCAAGCATGACATGATAGCATTTGGAGGTATATTCTTAGAAATTTCAAGCTTTGTAATGTCATCATCCAACCATTCTAGAAAATAACCCTGAAAAGAAAAAACTTTCTGCCATGCTTTCAGGATCAGTTTCTGTACTGTTACGTAAACTGACATTGCCATGCAGAGTTCTCAGTATGTACACCAACATCAAACATCTATCAAGATCTCATTCCTCAACATGCCTTACATGGCCATGTTGGAGATCTCTAACATATTCCTTTAGTTTACTTCAAAGGCTTATTCCACTGATATCCATACATGAGGATTCACATTTAAATGTCATGTTGAAAACTATTCAGCTCTTCCATAGTTGTATGCTATGATCACTGCAGAATATCAGCATTACATAAAATCCGCATTTATGAGTAGAATATGTAAATGTCTGGCCTAACAAACAATAAAAATGATAGACCTCATATTTTGTGAGAAATGGTTCTTATCATGTTCAAAGATGACAAACATTCCACTTGATATGATATAAACACCTGCACTGTACGAACAGCTACTCGTGCATAACTTCTGAACTAGATGGTGTGCTATATAAGGTGACTCTATTTGTACATATATGTCTTTATGTAAAAATATAAACAAACTGAACATGCAAAATAATACTTACTCCGTTCAGAATATTTATTTGGGCTTTTAAAACTTGAAGCAGATTTATTAACTGTCATAACAGAGTCTGTTTGATGCTCATCTTCAGTATCATCAGTGCTAAGACCTAAAGGAGAGGAAAAAATATACAAAATATAAGTAGAGCATTATTTCCTACAATTATTCACTTATTATCATTTGTCTAAAATTTTGTCAAAAATGAAAGCATTTCAATTGCATAACTTAAATGTATCATATCATGTATATACATCTTATCTGGCCAAATAAATAAAAAAAAAAAAAAAAAAAAAAAAACAGCTGAAATCAAGGAACAAGAAAGAGACTACACAAAGTCGATGTGTATTTGAAAAATTCTATCTTTTTTGTTCTAACTGAACTAACATCGAACACTTTTGTTATAAATAACATCGAAAATTTTATCTTTTTTGTTATAACTGAGTTGAAAAAAAAAAAATTGTTTTAATCGATTAAAGTAAGTAGTTAATTCTGGAAAACACAAAATAATTTTAAAAATTAATTTTAGTACATTTAAAACATGATAAATATAACATACCAAAAATAGATAGATACTTTTGTAACAAACTTTAATAATGTTCACAAAGACTTTATCAATGAAACTTAACAAACCTGACCAAAACTTTTGCAGGAGATCTTGGAAACACACTACCACATTATACTGGCACATCATAATGAGGTACTAAAAGTTAATACAGATGTATTATGAGCATACGTTTAGCATAAATTTCTTTCAATATGCAAAAAAAATTATTTTGTAAATGATACTCGTATGCCGAAAGATAACACTTAGTGCTGTTTGCTTTGAGAATAATTAATTCAGACAAGACTGATGCTGAAACTGAAGCGGTTGTAGCAGGTGGAATAATTAAGACAAGGCAATTTTTTTAGAATTTCGTGAAGCACTGAGCAAGAAAAATTACACAATGACATAATCTTTAGAATTTAGGCAAAGCACATATATACAAAATTTAGAGGTTTCAAAAATTTAGAAATCAGGAAGGCATCTGGGAGTAGAATTTTCAACAGGTATGAACTGCACTCGAACGCAAACTGTCTAGCACCAGTTCCAGATAAGCCAGTACATGTGGGAATTCATTTATTCAGTACTCAGCTAAGCCTCAAGCCTGTGTAGAAATAGGCATAAATATAATAAATAACTAATATAATTCAGACTTAATTTCATCAGTGGGCAACAGCAGCAAGACCTAATGAAGAAACGTAGGGAAGTGGTAATAAATGAGCAGCAAGACCTAATGAAGAAACGTAGGGAAGTGGTAATAAATGAAGAAAGTTTTTCATTGTGATGACAATGCCTCAATCACCGTTCAACTACCAGACAGCAAAATCTGTAATAGGATTTTAAATCCAGAAAATATTGCTACTGTGGTGCAGAAAACAACATAATTTGTTGCGGAAAAAAATTTCGATTTTTCGAGTGCAAATTCTCGATGAGGCAGTACACGATTCAAAAAAATGGAACTTTGCAACTGAATAAGAAATTATGTCTATCTATAGAATCAAAGAGACACAGCTTAGATTAAAAGAAATGTTTAAAACAAACAAATAAATACTGAGCCTTTTTTTTTTTTTTTTTTTTTGTGTGTGTGTGTGTGTGTAAATTTTGATTACCTTGAGATCATATATGCCTCATTATATAATATATCACTATTTCATATTTTTAATTTTATAATTTCTACAGGTCATCTTATTAGATCTGAAATAATGATCTAATGTCTGTAAAAATACCAAATTCGGAATCCCCACACTCCTGACAAGTCTAGATCTCGGACTTTGCAGTGTGCAAATTTGGGAAGTTCAGTTTTCAATGTTTCAGCAGCTCATCTACAGCCTTCTCTCTCAGGGCAAAATCTTCTTCTTCCTGATAGTTCTTTTTACTACGTGAAGGCCCATCCCTTCACATGTGTCTTTTGCTTCCTCAACAAGGTCATTTCTTTTGTCGGTTAAAAAGATTTTTAGACCTCAAAGCTTATTCCAAGAATATGTAAATTACTTTTGAATGTGCCAGACTTCTTTGAAAACATTACTCCATAAATACAAAAAGCACAAAAAAGAGAAATCACACATTGCACGCAACAGAGTTTGAGCTGCTCCTTTGATTTCAATCATTTCCAAAACACATGGAGGTAGCAAGTAAGAAGGAGAGGCCCCAACCAGTTTTCCCTATACACTGCTTTGAAGCACTGGTGAATCCTTTGTGGTGACCAAACCATTGAGTGGCTTACCATTAAGATCAATGGATTTTGTCATGATCAGATGTAAATATTTTGTAATTATGTCATAAATATACATATAAAAATGTATATACTTTCCTTTTCTACAATATTTCAAAATCTCAAGTATGTGAAAAGAATACATTTCTAAATAACATTTCATTCCGAATGGAATTAAATCCTATACTTTTCACAGATAAGTTTGGTCAGAATGGTTTAATCTGAAATATTTTCACAAGTGTCCGTTAATTACATTAGAAAAAAAAATTTAAGGTAATTCGATTTTCAGTTAAGGATTACAAAAATTAAGATCAAAGTTTATTGTATTACTAATATTAAAATTATGCATTATTTCTTTTCTATTTATACAGCTTCTTCCTAAAATACTTTCTCAAAAATGACATGATTTTTTTTAGCTTCTGAGGCATCTTTTAAATCGAAAAATCTAAGTGAATTTGTAATTAACCACTTGCGCTAAAAAGACGTGCCGCGCACGTCGAGATGCTTTTGTCTCAAACCGCGAGCAACGTGAACACCACGTCGATAGGCATTTATCACAAAAATGAAAATAACGTGGTGCACACGTCGCCTAACAACGAGATTGTTTATTTCTCGAGTTACAGCTCTGGATTGCACTCGCAGACACGGAGCGGCGTAAATGAGACACTTTACCGCTTGTTATATTGTAGCGCACGGCACTGCAACCATGAAGTTTAGTCGTAGCGCAAGTGGTTAATGTTCTATTTGATCCATTTCAAATTAGAGCACCTTTTATTTTAATAGTGAAGTACGTTAAATACTAGTGCTCATTTTCATGTACTTAACTTTCTCTAAATATTTCTAAAGGGGAATATTTTTTTAATATTATTTTAAACTTGTAACTCAGTTATTATAAAATGTAATGCATTCTTTTAATTACGCTCAGATTTTAATTATAATTATTATCAGATTTTTTTACCCTTAATTTCAACAATACATATTCTAAACTCTTCTTTATTACTTCCTTAAGTACACATCTTGTAGAATTCGTTTTACAATACCTTTTAACAGATTGCTTTCCAGTACAAACAATTCTTGCTTAAACATTTTTATAAGCGTATCTGTCAACAGGATTTCAATTTATGTTTACAATTCAATGTTAAGTTTATTACATACTAAGATAATATTTATAATCATTATAAATTAAATACATTTAACAATTAGATTTCTTCACAGTAACTTTCACAGAAGTTTATGAATGAATGAATCCTTCATTTCAAACACATTTGCAAATAATTTAATAAATATTTACATATTTTGTTAAAGGCAGATACATGCTTTTTGCAAGCAGATGCATAAATACTTGCACATATTTCATATTTTTCACTTCCGGCACACACAAATCCTTAATTTCTGTGCGTTCACTATATTTTTTGAATAAAGTTATTTATAATAATTTAGCATACACCCAAAATTAATAAATAAATACTCGTAATTTCATATTTTTCATTTCTGGCATGCACAAATCTTTAATTTCTGTGCATTCACTATATTTTTTGAGTAAAGTAATTAACAATAATTTAGCATACACAAAAAATGTTCGCAGAAGAAATATGTATAAATATAATTTGAATGAAGATTACATGCATTACTTTTAATATCCACTCAAAGGTCAGTTTTTCTTCAAAATTCCTCCGCGATGGGATGTCTCCCTTTAGGCAGATAGCCCTGGCATGCCTTACTCTATTTAATAAAAACTTAACCCAACCCATGTACCTTATTACAAATATTTTAACATGCAAAATTTTATATTTACATTTAGCCATCAAGTTTTGCACTTTTGATTAGATTTCCAAAACTTGTTTTTTGATTTGCTGTGCCTTAGTCCCCCCCCCTTATGTTGTCACTGGCGCTTGATAATGCTCTTCTTTGCAATGTTTTATGCTGGCAATTTTGCTCACATGTGTATCATTCTAACACTATTTATGGTTTTTGAATGGGCTCATCTATTTGCACAGGGGGGGGGAGGAATATGGATGTTGCCATTCAAAAATTTTCAGATTTTTAAACTGTATCCAAAACCATGAGGCGCTACTGTTTTAAATCATCACAACCTTCAGCGCATACCTTCAAATAACAATATCTGAAATTTCATTTCTATTGGTTGTGCGAATAGGCCGTTGGGAAAGGTTTTTCATTACCACCCTGTATATACTGCAACGAACATTTTATAAAACTCCACCTCTGAGAAGGAAATTATAATTATGAAGATGTAACAAATAAAACAGATATAAATGTGAATGACAGGATAATTGCAGCCACAGTAACAAGCACAATAAACATGCTAATCTTCAACTTAATAATTTTATCATGCTAAATAATAAAATTTGAATTTTTATTACTTCGTTTTGTTGCAGTCCATGGAACATAGGACATTGTTTTCTGTTGAAAACGTTTACTATAATCATCTTCACTCTCACTAGTACTTGAATCTGAAAGAAAATGGTGAAACTTAAATTTTCTAAAAAAAGTGCAAATTCTAAAAAAAAATGCCACAACATCAAACATTTCTTGGTACTTTCTAATTATCTGCCTAACCCTGAGAAGAATATGCAACCTCTAGTTGCAGACACATAGCTGACTGGACATTTATCCAAAACGTGCATTCTGCTGAAAGAGACATTTAGCCAACATGACACTGAACTGACATGAACATTTAGGCAACATGGACATTTATCTGATGAGACACTTAGCCCACAGGGTACATAACTGATATACGGACATTTAGCTGACAATGCAACATACAGGTAATGATAATGATAATAATAACATACAGGTAATGATAATGTTTTAGTAAAATTTGTTCATATTCATCTGGAAGTATAAGCTTATTTTCAGGGTACCTAACAAGAAAGTTTATGAAAAAGTAACATATTTTTTACCTAATTTAATGTTAAAGAAACTATAGATTTTAAAATATGGCACAAAAGCAACCTTATTTTGGCATACATTTTGAAATCAGTTTCAAGAGAAATCAAACATAGGTCTCTATATTTCTAAAGTAGGAAAGAAAATTTCAACAGTCGGAAGAGTGAAATGATTTTATACGGAAAGAATGAGAAGAGGGAAAAAAAAATAATAAACGTAAATTGGATTTCATCGAATTCTTTCACATAAAAAATTTTTTTTCTTCTTCAGGAAATGAAAATAATTATTCAGGGTTTTCACAATTATAATATCTTAGCTTTTTCCATTTCATTACTTTCCATGACAGATCACCTTATATTTGTTTTTATTTTGCTCCAATTATTTCTTTAAATATAAAATCATTTCCCTTTTACGACTGCTGAAATTTTCTACCACACTTCTGAAATAAGGAGACCGAGCATACCAACCACCAAGCGGTAAAGTCGTTAAACACTAGTAGTTTGGTCCGCCGTTCAAATTCGGAAGACAGGCTGGTTGCATGAGTGCTTTCACAGCTTTTACCATGCATAACATGTTTTTTTGAACATATGTATGAATTGTCAATTACATGTGTTGTTGGCTAAAATGTCTTGTTGGTTAAATGTCCTCTCATCTTAATGTCCGTGCCGGTTCAAAGACCTGTCAGCTTAATGTTCATGTCGACTAAATTTCCTGCCAGTTAAATTTCGATGTCCATGCTGGCTAAATATAGGTGTCAGCTAAGTGTCACACACCTGGTATACTCCTAGACATATTACAATAGTGAGAATATCAGCTTTCGAAAAATTTCCTGGTTAGTGCTTGTGCTAGTTAATGCAAACTTTTTTGGAGGGGTAAGGAACTGAAGAGTTTTGCAAAGGAAAAAGACCATTTTGATTAAATTTTGGGCTCTAATGTAGAATTGGGTGCTCTTTCGATTAGCGATAATTTTTTTTTTTTTTTTTTATTTATTTTTTTTTTTTATTTTATTTTGGCAATGAAATTTCATTTCTGGTTACCATGATAGTTTTAACTTTGTTTTAGCTTCATGATTTTTTTTTTTTTTTTTTAAATGAAAATGGATTGATGTGTACATGGACAAATTTAAGTCAGTGTGCAATGCCTAGTTTGTGCAGTTCTGGGATTTTTTTTTTAAGTGAAAATAGATCCATGTGTACATGGACACAGAGTTTGTGTAATTCTTTGACTTTTTATTTTGGTTTTGGGTAGCGGCCATCTTGAAATTGTGCCTTCCTGACGCCGATCTTGGCGTAAAAAAAGAAATCGCCAAAAACAAGGGGCACCCAATTGTAAACTTTTACCAAATTTTGAAGCAGATAGCTGAACAGTACCCATTTGTGGTAAAAATGTAAATATAATCAATATTCCAATGAATATTTTCTATTAATATAATTAAATGTGTAAAAATGGTACATCTGGCTACCTTTTATTTACATCTGATGTTATATGATTATAATAAACAAGAAGCTTGAAAGTAGTACATCGACTGTTCTTATGTGATTGTGACATTGACTTTTGCCAAATTTGTGCAGTTCTGTACTTTTATATGAAAATAGGTCAATGTGCAAAAGGGAAAAAGAGGGGGGGGAGCAAAGTGTTTTATTATGTCTGTTTCTTGCATTTTTAACATTGTTAATTTGTTGCTGTTATATTTTTTTCATAGTGTGGCACCATTTTTGAAAAGGTCTATTGTTTTTCGTTGGGGGGAAAAAGAAATCAGTCGCTAATGTTTGGCGATATTTTGGGAAAGTCAGGAAATTCAATCAGTTTGTGAATTTCAATTAAAGTACAGCTTCGATAAGAGGTACAGATAACTTTCAGACTTAAATATAATGGCATCCTGTCCTAAAAACAGCAGCACACTTTAATATGTCAACCAATGCTAGTCAAAATAGAAAATTTTCACAAGAATGCCTGGCATAAAGATACCTACATCTTTATCAAGTATAAGAAGCATTCCAAATTTAGTAATTTTGTTATTAAATACCAATTTTAATTTGCTAACATTACATATTGATGCACAATGTCAAGAAGTTAGTGAAGTTCTCTGATATTTTTTTTAAGTGATAACAGATTGCTGTATAAATGGAGAAAAAAACAGTATTATCAGATAATATATATGTTACCGGCAAAGTTAGGCATTGTATATATTGCCTAAAACTAGCCAGCAATGTATGAAATGATTCATATTCACACATATCCTAGGCATTCTATACAGGGTTCATAGCCACATTTTAGTTAAAAAAATAAGCACCTATAAGCACTTTTCAAACACATTTTAAGGAAAAAATAAGCATCTGTCTAATTACATTATACACAACTGCATAACCTTAAAAGAAAAATTAGACTTGTAATTTAAAATATGAGCAATGCAATATTTATTACGAGAATGGGCATTACCTCAACCATGGAAAACAATTAACTTTTTTTTAAAAAAAATTTTAAATGACAGTTCAATTTACAGAATTAGTTTACAATGAGAGGAAAAAAACTATGCAGAACTAAACTATATTACAAAATTTAATGATGATATTTCAGTTGAAAATATGGAAAGTAAATAATAATAAGCCATATTAATTGTATTCATTTGCCACCTAATAATAAATACAATTTATTTTTCCACTCATATTAATATTTAAATAATTTAACTTAAATCAAAATTCTGAACATTTTCTAAATTTTCATTCCATAACAGTTTTTCCTTAACATATATCCCAAACAAAGTAATTTAAGTAAAAAAGAGGCACATTTCTGAAATCAGAAGACGGGAAATTGCTTCATGCAGTCATCCTTTAACAGTAAAAGCTTAACTAACCCGCATACTCGGAAATTCCCGAATATTCTGGATAGTAACTGGAAAAAGAGGAGTGGGGGAGACTGTAGCCGTTCTTTAGATTTAAATTTAGGCTAAATAAATGATTTTGACATTTCGATATGTGCATCATATAAAAACCAACGGAACTGAGAAATATTCTGCTTAGAAAGCACAGTAAAACTAAAGTAAGTGTTCATAAACAAATCTCAGACTGAACATCAAAAATTGCAAACGTTATTGCGCAATACATGCGGCGTAATTCTTCCATATGTGATATTACGCAATCGGAATCAACACCTGCCGGTATTCGGAGGAAAAAGAACTTAATAAAGGAAAAGAAAGAGACTTACTAATCTGGGGTGTTTCTGATTCTAATTTTCAACAGACTGTATTAAATTTCCGGAATAGAATCAATCTTCGCTTGGGTTGGGTAGACCGCAAAAACTTTTAATCCTATTCAATCCAGATTGGACAGTGACCAAAAAAGGTCCGCTGCTTCAATATCAGAGATTTTGCGGAGAAACTCCCAACCTCCGTACTGTATAATGTATTGGCAAAGAAAATGAAATTATTTTGACTATTCGATTACTTTCCTTTTATTTTAAGCCATTCTGAATATTATTCCTTAGAAAGCTAATCTGTGTAAAAACACACCCATTTTTGGAAGTTTATCTATACTTCAGCAGTTACTGCAACTATATTATTATAAATATTCATACATATGCTCATAATATAAGCATAACGATCACAATAAACACGAATGTGAACTGACCACGCGGAACGAGAATGTAAATTATTAAAATCTTGATAGAAATTCAAACATGTGTAGTATTTGGGTGGGAGGAAAAGAATACCGAATGTACCGGAATTTTCTACCGTTTTCGCAATTCTTTGGACCAATAGAACGACACGTGCACCTGTCTGTACTCTCGTGCGCACCATAGGTTACGTTAATGCAGAGGAAGGGGGGAAAAGCAATTTCCTGGGAAGTATGATTCACCATCTGACGTTACATTTTATAAGGAATGAAATGTTAGAACGCACATTATTTCCCCCGTACCAAAGTTCGAAACGGACTTTGGTACGGGGAAAAAATGTGCGTTCATTGAAAAACAAAGGAATAAAAAAAAGCACTAAAGCAAAAAATAAGCACTAAAAACAAAAAAATAAGGGCTTTAAAGAAAAAGTAAGCACCTATAAGGGCCTTTATATTTTATTTTCAAATATAAGGACTTATAAGCACTTGTAAGGACCGCTACGAACCCTGCAATAGAATGCCAAATGAAAAACTGGCACAGTATGAAATACATTTCCGATTCATTTCAAAGAACCAAAACTACTTATCAGAAGTTAGTAAATGATGTAAAAAAAGCCAAAATGAATCACGGGAAAAGGAATCATGGGACTACTGGCCACTGAATAGCTAGGATGAGATGTTTGTAGAAAACAAAAATGCATTCATTTACCCTGTTAACACGTTGAGCGCGGCGCCGAGTTTGCTATCGTTTCCGTTCAGTTGGCAGCGAGCTAAGCCATATTTTTGTTTGGAATGTTTCAATACATTTCATTAAAACTAAATTTGATCACGTTTCATTGAGACTATTTTTATTTTTTAACTTTAAGACTGTCAGTCCCGCGGCACGACGCCAGCCAAACGAAAATTCCAGTGCCGGTCCCCAGGGACCCTCGCCAGCCACACGGAAAGTTCAC